AAGCTCTGCCTTGTAACGCAAACAGAAATCTTAAGAGATGGGCTTGCAAACGATAAGAGAAATCCCGGATGCGAGGAAGTATTTTGTACACACTGGAAACTCCCCAAGCCCTCCTGTTCTGAATGAAATGCGCGATCTGAGAACAGGGGAAAACAGCTCGCGTTCCCGCAAGCACTTTTGCTTTCCAGTTTTCATTTGCCGAGTTCCTCCTTCCTCGCTGTGCGGGAACGAAGCCTCCCTCTGCTTTGATACACTTTTTCCTGGTCCATGCTTACAGCTGTTGGAGATGCAGGCGACATTTGACCCAGGTCCCCCGAGTTTCTTAGGGTGGTGTTTTTGAGGCAGGATCTTCTCCGCAACCGTTCTTAAATAAAGTTTGATTTAAAGTAGCTCCGATTATTCTGGTTTTGAGTAGTAAATGCAAACCAGACAAACCTGTCTGTCGGGTTGAGAGAATAACCCTCGGAAGAACTGAAGGAAACGGTGGCACAATTTCCTCACTGGAGCAACAACTTTTCTCATTTCCTCATGCCCATTGATAGGGCAAGCGGGACAACTCTGACAGGAGCTTCAAATGTATATCCTAAACTTTGATTTCAACAAGGTGAAACAAAAACTGCTCCGATCTAACTGCACTTCCAAGTTAACAAAACAGTTGTTTTGAAAATGGGAGTTCTCACTTAGCAACAAAGAAATTCTTTTAAAATATAAACCCAGTTGCTTGGTTTTTTGTAAATCAGGCTGGCCAAGACGCTTAAAGTTAGGCTGAATTGCATTCGAGAAGGTACTTGAGCTCTACTTTTTATTGTGACGTTTTTCTTATTTTTAATTGTGTATAGGTGTGCGTGTCTACATGCGGGTGTGTGCACAGAAGGGCAGGTGTCAGCCTAGGCCGGAGGTGTCAGGTTCCCTGGATTTGTGAGTTGCTCTGTGGGTGCTGGGTCCCCTTAACTATTGAACCATCTACCTATTCTGCTCCTTCTCTTTCTGAGACAGAATCTCTCTATGTAACTGTTTCTGTCCTGGAACTCTCTATGTAGACCAGGCTGGCCTCGAACTCACAGTGGTGCACCTGACTCTGCCTCCCACTGCTGGGGTTAAAGGCCTGCGCCACCCTGCCTAGCCTTTCACATCTGACGCAAGAAAACTCAGATCTCATAAGTCTTTTTTTGGATAAGTCCAAGTATTCTGGTGGAATATTGCACTGTTTAGTTGTTTTTTGTTTTTTTTTCAACCTGGCACAAGCCAGGATCATCTGGGAAGAGGGAACTTCAATTGAGAAAAGGCCTCTATCAGATTTTTCAGTGGTCAGTTCCATGAGGCATTTTCTGGAATAGTAATGATGGATGTGGGAGGGCCCGACTCATTGTGGACAGCGCTGTCGATGGACGGGGTCCTGAGTTATATAAAACAGCAAGTTCAGAGACCCGTGGGGAGTAAGCCACTAGGAAGCATTCCTCCATGATCTCCACTTCGGTTCCTGCCCTGACTTCCTTTCGTGATGGATTGTAAATTGTAAGCTGAAATACCCCCCTCCCAGTTACTTTTGGTCGTGTGTTTCTATGACAACTGGAGTGGCTACTGAGATTAAAGGTGTGTGTTACCACCACCCGGTCTGTAAGGCTGACAAGTGGGACTGTTTTACTCGCTCATCTTTAGGCAAGCTTTATTTACTAAAATACAAATGAAACGCCACTACAGTGGTGTTTATCACAGCAATAGAAACCTAAGTTGGCACCAAGAGAAACAATTAATAAATGGGATCTCCTGAAACTGAAAAGCTTCTATAAAGCAAAGGACACGGTCAGCAAGACAAAACATCAGCCTACAGAATGGGAAAAGATCTTCACCAACCCCACATCAGACAGAGGTCTGATCTCCAAAGTATACAAAGAACTCAAGAAACTGGACACCAAAAGATCACATAATCCAATAAAAAAAAATGGAGTACAAACCTAAACAGAGAACTCTCAACAGAGGAATCTAAAATGGCTGAAAGACACTTAAGGAAATGTTCAACATCCTTAGTCATCAGAGAAAGGCAAATCAAAACAACTCTGAAATTCTATTTTACACTGAAAGAATGGCCAAGATCAAAAACACTGATGACAACTTATGCTGGAGAGGTTGTGGGGAAAAGGGAGCACTTCTGCATTGCTGGTGGGAATGCAAACTGCTGCAGCCCCTTTGGATGTCAGTGTGGCGATTTCTCAGAAAATTAGGAAACAACCTTCCTCAAGACCCAGTAATACTACTTTGGGGTATATATCCAAAGGATGCTCAATCATGCCACAAGGACATGTGCTCAGCTATGTTCATAGCAGCTTTGTTTGTCATAGCCAGAACCTGGAAACAACCTAAATGCCCCTCAACCAAAAAAACGGATAAGGAAAATGTGGCACACTTACACAATGGGGTACTACACAGCAGAAAAAAATAACGACAGCTTGAATTTTGCAGGAAAATGGATGGAGCTAGAAAACATCATTTTGAGTGAGGTAACCCAGACACAGAAAGACAATTATCACATGTACTCACTCATAGATGGTTTTAAACATAAAGCAAAGAAAGCCAACCTACAAACCACAATCCCAGAGAAATTAGACAACAATGAGGACCCTAAGAGAGACATACATAGATCTAATCTACATGGGAAGTAGAAAAGCAAAGACAAGATCTCCTGAGTAAATTGGGAGCATGGGAACCTTGGAGGAGATTTGAAGGCGGAAGGGGAGAGGCAGGGAGGGGAGCAGAGAAAAATGTAGTGCTCAATAAATATCAATAAAAAAATCAATTAAAAAGAAGCCTAAGTTGTACACCTGTTCTTCACAGAGTGTGTTTGCACTCTGATGTTTCAGCACACTTCCTAGCCGTGACACCATTATTCATTGCTAACATCTCGTTAGCAATACTGGTGGATCTTATTCTCAGGGGGAAAAAAATGGTTAAAATGTATGTCAAAACATGTAGGTTATCTATTACATGTGGGCTTTTAAAAGGCTTCTTCACCGAGTAGTGGTGGTAATGCACGCCTTTAATCCCAGTGCGGGAGGCAGAGGCAGGGAGATCTCTGAGTCTGAGTCCGAGGCCAGCCTGGTCTACAGATACAGTTACAGGACAGCCCTGGCTACACAGAGAAACCCCGTCTTGAAAAACTAAAACTAACTAACTAGATAAATTCATAAAAGTCATGTTCCTGTGCATGCTTGATTTAACATGAAAAAGTACATACATTTCAGAGTTCTATGAAGTTACATATGCCAGTGTCAAGTTTCTTTGATTTTTTTTTTCAAACTAATAATATTGGTTAAGTACAAGTCAGCAAAGAAAGAAGGAAAAAACTTGAAATGATCAGTACACCACTGCCCAGAAGTAATTACTTTTGGCATATTGGCATACGTTTGATATAAACATGATATGTGAAAATTTTTTTACTTTTTATTTATTTTTTACTGTAATAAAATATCATGGGTACTTTATACTGTTGTTAACAGGATACATGATTTTAACTTCTGTTTAAGAATGCTAGAAGGCTGCAAAGTGTCTCATTAGGGATAGGCACCTCCCTGCAGGGATCTGAGTTTGACCAGGTCTCAGATGCTGGGAGAATCAACTCCTAAAAGCTGTCCTGGCCTTTGTATGTGTGTCATGGCACTGACATAGTCACATAGATATGCACAATTAAAAATTTCCATGTTTCATAGATTGATATTTAATAATACTGTTGATTACTTATTGAACTAGCATTTTTTCCTGTTGGAGAATTTCTTATGCATATAATGTATTTTGATCAAATTCACAACCCCATTCCCTTCCCTAACCCCACTGTCACTTTTCCCCTCTAACTTTATGGACTCTGTCTTTTAAACCATTGAGTCCACTTAAGTGCACCATTTGTTCATGGTTGTGGGACTGTCTACTGGAGCATAGGTGACCTCTCCTGGGACCTGAGCCCCAAAGGAAACCAACTCCCCCTCGCTTCAGTGAGGACATGGTTCCTGCCCCCATCCATGCTATGAGTTTGTCTGGCTTCAAACAAACACTCTTAACCATATCATTTTAAACGCAGACGAGCTCTGGCATCATTTGTAATAAACTGAATTCTAACTGAAATCTTTCTTTGCAAGTGTGTGGTGTGAGATAGCCTTGAACGTAGGTCCATCCTTGTATCTTTAGAGATCACTAGAGATGATTCAACCAAATCTTATTGTATGGCAAACTCTGCTCTCTAGTGTTTAGAGAAATAGAAACCTCATATATACATTTTTAACAGCACTGGAAGGATTTGATTTATTAGTCTCTTGAATACTAACTCTAAATTGGTTTATTGTCTAATTTTCAGGAATATAATCTATGAAATTAAAACTTGAGTCATGCAGACACAGATGCCATCTTTTTCATACTATTATACAATGTATTTTTATTTTTGAAGGAAAGTGGAGAAAACAGGGTCTTCTGTAGACTTAGCTGGCCCCAAACCTTCTACTTCTACATCCAGAAATGGGCTCACAGATCCCTTGCTTCTTTCTCTCCCTCCCATTTCCTCACCCTTTTCTGAGACCAGTGAGTGCTTACCGTGCACTCATTTAGACCTTCTCTTTGGTACTTACATGAGATGTGTGCACCCACACATGTAAAGCACCTTCTGTTGGAGAATTTCATTCTGTGTAATACATTGCAAATTCCCTTTTTTTCCCATTAGCTCTGTCTTACCATTCCATGTGTGCTGTACTATAGATTTTATTTAACTACCCCTGATACGACATGTAGGTTATTTAGACTATTTTATAGTTCTATATTGGATATATATACATATTATATATTATATGTGTGTAATATAATATACAGACTATATTTATAATGTATATAGCATGTCTTTTTAATTTATGATAAACCTTGCTCCAAAATGTTTAATAATTTCATATTATATGCTAACTAGGTAAGAAAATCTGTATAATATGGGGTGATAGTGATTATTTATAACAATCTTATCGTTTTAGATAAAATTCGATGCTGGGACACTTCTTCTTAGTACACACCGGCTGATTTGGAGAGACCAGAAAAACAATGTAAGAGACATCAGCTTTTAGTGTCTAGTTCTGGGCTTTGTTTAATTAGTGTGTGAACTGGGACAGTGGGCCTTGACCATGCTGAGTGTGTGCTTTATCACTGAATTACACCCTCAGCTACCCCCACTCAAGATTTTGTTTGCGTTCTCTTGTTTGTTCTTGTTTTGTTTTGAGAGGACAAGGTTTTACTCTCTAGCCTCGTCTGACCTTGAACCTGCTGTGTAGACCCGTCTGGCCTCTGATTCCCCAGTGGTGAGATGCTTAATTCTTAGGCTTTCAAATACCAGTCAGTCGTTCCTACAGCCTGCCTCAGTGTAGGGGAGGAATCATTCTCTCATCAGTTCTGAGGGATCCTTAAAAAGACAGTTTGTTCTCCAAACAACCTGTTCTGTTAGGTTACTGGGAAGCAGGAGCGCTCTGCTGTAGGAATTCGAGAAAGGCCTTGCCCTATATCTCTCAAGAAGAGACTCTTCACTTTGATTTTATAGTTTCTAGATGGAGTGAGGTGTATCTATGAGCTGATATCTCTATCCCAAAGAATTTTAACTTTAAAGGTACAGTTGTCAACAGGAAAAATTGTCTAGTGTCTCTCTGTCTGTCTGTCTGTCTCTCTCTCTCTCTGTCTCTCTCTCTCTCTCTCTCTCTCTCTCTATATATATATATATATATATAGTTTTATATATATAATAGATATTCTTATTCTTTCTATATAAAAGAATATATATTCATATTCATATATACTTCCCAGCTGGATGTTGATTGATTAGGAAAATAAGAGTATATATGTGTGTGAATATATAAATATATTTTATAAATATATTTGTGTGTGTGTGTATATACCTATACATTTATATGTTCTTATTTTCCTAATCACTCAGCATCCAGCGGGGAAGCTGTAGTGACTGAAGTTGGTACTGAGATAAACTCCCGGCTGGGAGCACTCTTCCATCTGGGAGTACTACTCCCATGTTTCCACCTCTTCACTACACTCCCAATCACCAAGAACTTTTATTTAATTATTTATTTTTTTTATTTTATGTGTCATGGGTGTTTTGACTGCATGTGTCTGTGCACTGTTTGTGTGCAGTACCCACAGAGGCCAGAGGAGGGCTCCTGTCTCCTGGAACTGGAGTTACATCTGGGTGCCAGGAATTGAACCTGGGTTTCCTGGAAGAGCAGCCACTGCTCTTAGCCTCTAGGCCATCTCTCCAGCCCCTCACCATGAACTGTTAATGCCCAGATGAACTGTAAACTGTATTGTATCCTTTGGAAGAGTGCTCACCATGTTCTTTAAGAACCATTCCCCCCTTAGGGTTGATACTGCCTCCTTTGATGCTGCATTCATTATTCTGTTAGTGTTGTGTAATTATTTTAAAATTATGTGCGGAAGAGAAATCTTTACAAGGCGATGAGGTGCCCTGAATGTTGATAAACTAATTTATTTATTTTTTTTTGATAAACTAATTTTAGAGTCACCTTTTGGTTACCATGTAAAGAGGTCATTTAGACAGAGAAGGGAAGAGAGGGTTGCAGGGAAGATGGGTGTGATTGGTGGGTGATATGTGCACAAGTAGAAATGTCCCATTGAGGCCATTGAGATGGCTCAGCCAGTAAAGATGCTTGTCCTAGACAGTGCATGGTAGACCGAGAGCACCCTGGGGCTGCAACATGCATGTGTATGCCTACTTGTGGACATGCAACACACGCATGCAAGATAAATAAATTGTAAACAAAAAAAAACAAAGAGTGAAGCCTGTTAAATTGTTCAATTATTCATATTAATAGAAAAGGAAGCCACTTCTGAAACCCTTTGACCTACTATATACCAGTCATGTATAATGATTTAAATTAAATTTAGCTAATGTTTTTCACAAGCTTTTACTGTGTTACCTTGCCTAACATTGAACTTTAGGTTCAAGTGGTCATTTTTACACTTCCATATTATTTTTAATAATAACAAAGCTGTATTAGTATTTCCTCTCAATGTATATACATGTGTACATATCTACATAAGTAAATTGGGGAAGTTATAAAGAAGCATAAAAATCATCCACATAAAATACATTCTTTAGAATTGTTTTGATTTGTTTTATTTTTATTTCTTATAAAATATTGCATCAAAAATTTTTTCATGTAAATTCATTTTAATTGGAAACTTGAACAATACAAATGGTGAATTATTAGTCATTGGATATGGATCCTGCTATTCATATCTTACAAAAAGAGGTATTTAAAATTTTTCATAAATTTTACTTGAAAAGAACATACCAACTATAAAAACAAAGGTAGTTACAACTGTTTAATTTTGCTTGAAAAAAGGTAATTATTAGTTTACTTATTTACATGTGTGTGCTCATGTGTATGTGTATGTGCATGCAGGTGCCTATGGGGGCAGAGGACAGTCCCTGGGACTGAGTGACCAACATAGGTGGTGGGAACCGAACTCTGCCCCTCTGCAAGAACAGCAAAGGCTCTTAACTGCTGAGCCATCCCTGCAACCCCTTTTTACTTTTATATTTTTGAGACAGGATCTCACTGTATAGCTCAGGCTGGTCTTGAACTCCTTATCCTTCTGTCTCGGATTCACTAGTACCAAGATTAGAGAGGTATCACCTCCTGGTTTAATTTGATTTATTATATTCTGTGTGTCCATGAGTGAGGACCACTGTGCACATGCAGAGGGCAGTGGGTAGCTTGCAGACTTCTTCCTTCCCCCGTGGGATCCCAGGGATGGAACTCAGGCTTAGGTTTTGAGACAGGCGCCTTTACCCACAGAGCCATCTTGCCAGTCCTGCGCTTGCCTTTAAAACTCTCCCTATGCTCTCCCATGCACCAAATGGCAGCGCAGAGTTTTAGTTCAATTTTCCACAAGTTTATTAAGGAGATTGGAAGTGTAGCTGTGGTGGAGCCCCTGCCAGGCGTGTGCCTTCCTGGCCCTGGCTAAAGTGAGCAGTTTGGTTAGGGAATACAGCGTGGATGAACGGCGCTCCCGAGCTGGACTTGATCTTCTGACACGCATAGCATACCGAGCTCTTTCCTGTTGGTCTCCTCCCAGGAGTGCTGCATGGCCATCCCTCTGTCCCAGGTTGTGTTCATCGAGGAACAGGCGGCTGGAATTGGGAAGAGGTGAGGCCTAACAATCTTTCTGGTGTTTGTTTGTTTGTTTGTTTGTTGTGTTTTCCAGACAGGGTTTCTCTCTGTATCCCTGGCTGTCCTGGAACCCGCTCTGTAGACCAGGCTGGCCTCGACCTCAACAGAGAGCCCACCTGCCTCTGCCTCCAAGGGCTTAGAATTAAAGACCTGCACCACCACCACCCTGAGTGAGCTCTAAAACCTTTATTCACAATAAAGTTCTTATCTCCTCCTACCGCTCTAATTAAAGCCCCCTTCAAATCTGCTGTACCCCCTGCTATTCAAGCATCTTCTCTATTGCTCCTCCCCCCACTTTGGTCCTTTTCACTCTCTTTGTTTCTGGGGTTACTCCAGGATATGTACTCACCCTGAAGAACCTAAAGAAGTTGAGGACCTCAGATGAGAGTGAATATGTAACATTTGTCTTTGAGTTTGCGTTACCTCAACCAATACAATCTTTTCTAGTTCTGTCCACTTATCTGCAAAGTTCATGTTTTCATTTACGTTAGCTAAATAGTGTGCCATAGTATATGTGCACCACATTTTCTCTTTTTTTTAAGATTTATTTATTTATTTTAAGATTTATTTATTTATTATTTTATTTATTTTATACAGTGTTCTGCGTGCATTTATCCATGCAGGCCAGAAGAGGGCACCAGATCTCATTATAGATGGTATGAGCCACTATGTGGTTGCTGGGAATTGAACTCAGGACCAAGCAACCAGTGCTCTTAACCCCTGAGCCATCTCTCCAGCCCATGTGTGCCACATTTTCATTCTCTGTTTGCTGGTTGAAGGAGCTGTAGGTTGTTTCCATTTCCCTGCTACTGTGAATAGAGCAGCAATGAACATGGCTGATCTGGTGTCTGTGGAGTAGGGTGTCAAGTCCTTCGGGCAGATGCCAAGGAGTGGCACAGCTGGTAGATTTGTCCTTAGCTTCCTGAGGTTTCCACACTCGTTTCCAGAGTCATCGCAGCAGATGGCAGTCCTGCCAACAGTGGTCCCTTCCCCCATATCCTCCTCAGCATTAGTTGGCAGTTGTTTTGTTGATCTTTGTCATTCTGACTGGAGTAAGATGGAATCTCAAAATTGTTTCGATTGTACTTCCCTAATTGCTAGGGAGAATGAACATTTTTTAAGGTATTTCTCCTCTGTGTTCAGATCCCACGCATATTTTTTAAATGGGTCATTTGAATTTCGTTTCTTTGATTCTTTGTTGCTTGGGCTGTCTATATTGTGGATGGTAATCCTCTATCCGATGTATAGCTGACAAAGATTCTCTCCCATCCTGCGACTTCTCCTTCACATGATTGGTTGATTCTTTAGCTGTGCAGAAACTTTTTAGTTGTCAGGTTTTGGCCTTGATTCCTGAGTGAATGGAGTTTTATTCAGAAAGTCAGTCCTTCCCTAACCCTGTGTCACGGAGGACATTGCCCATGCTTTCTCATAGTGGTGATTCAGTGTTTCACGTTTAGGTCTTTGATCCATTTGGGCGTAATTTTCATGCAAGGTGATAGATAAGGGTCTAACTTCATTCTCCTGCATGTCAACATCCATATTTCCCAGCACCATTTATTGAAGATGTTTTTCCCCTCCAACTTATGTTTTGCGGGTTTTTTTTTTTTTGCATTTTTGTCACATACTAAATTGCTGAAGTTTAGGTACTCATATTTGGGTCTTCACTTGTGTTGCATTGGTTTGCGTGTCTGTCTGTGTTTTATTACTATGGCTCTGAAATGGTAACCTCTCCAGAAACATATTTTTTTGCTCAGTATTTTTGGCTCTCTGAGATCTTTTGTGGTTTCATACGATTTTTAGGATAGTTTTCTTCCCCCATTTTCTGTTTCAGTTCAGAATGAGATAGTATTTTGGATTTTGATTGCATTGAATCAATAAATAGTTTTTAATAAGATAGTCATTTTCAGTGGTAATTCTACCAATCCATGAGCACTGCCTGTCTTTCTAATCTCTAGTGTCTAGATATGGGGTTTGGGCGGCTGCGTGAGACAAGGATCAGGAGGAGTCCCCAAGGTCTGTATGCATTTAGTGGTACTGAGTCCCCAAGGTCTGTATGCATTTAGTGGTACTGAGGTGCTGCTGCTGACACACAAGTGTCTCCCCTGGTCAGCAGGACTTGAGAGTTGTCCTTATCGTCAGGTCTTCTAGATCATGCTGCTGCACGGGCGGCATTTCCAGCAAATGACACTGTAGGACATTAGCTTTAGATGAGTTTTTATTAAAATATCAGCCAGCCCATTTTACAGGTAACTTTTTCACATGTTTTCAGGTAGGTAAGGTAGACTGCTTTGGCAGAAGTGATAGCCCCATGTGACCTCAGGTGGTGACCCTGTGGATGGGAAGCCTAGGCATAAACCACTCAAAACTTTACAAAACTATTCTGAATTCATTTCTAAAGCCATGCATTTATTTTATCTATATAGCCGATGGCATTTAGTTTATACCTTACAAGTTTTATTTTTGCAGGTTTTAATGATTCTGAATATAAATTAGAAAAGAATGTGTTTTTGAAATTCATTATTTCTCTATGAATTTCCCAGTGATTGGAAATGTACAACATGTTTAACAAATAGTGCTCGTCGTAGTGGCACACACTTTTAGATTCAGCATGTGGGAGGCAGAGGCTGGGGGATCTCTCTGTGTCTGTGTTGGAGGCCAGCCCGGGTTACATGGCAAATTCCAGGCTTGCCAGAGCTACACAGTGAGATCCTGCCTCAAAAGAATACATAAATAGTAAGTAAATAAGCAAATAAAAAGTTACAGAAACAGAATTAGTGATTTTAAAAATTTATCAACGTATTTGCTGTTTCATTAGTGCCAAAATCGTGGTTCATCTGCATCCGGCTCCTTCTAACAAAGAGCCCGGTCCATTCCAGAGCAGCAAGAACTCCTACATCAAACTCTCCTTCAAAGAGCATGGCCAGATCGAGGTAAGCTCCCTAGTGAGTACAGCTGGATCCACACGTGTGTTGTGTGTTAGTATGGTAGAAGACAGTATTGTGATTGAAGGTGTGTGCTGTGTGTTAATGCAGCAGACAACAGTATTATGATTGAAGGTGTGTGCTGTGTGTTATTATGATAAAAGACAATATTATGATCAAAGGTGTGTGCTGTGTTAATGCAGTAGAAGACAGTATTATGAAGGTTATAAACCACATTTTTACAAAAACAAAAAACAAAGCAAAACCTTTTTATGTTTCGAGCCTTATCAAGTGAAAAGCAGGGGTGTGGTTGCATGGCATCCGAAGCTGGAGGCTGCTAGAGAAGCTGCTAGGGGGGTAGTTGATGGGGCAACAGACCGCAGCGGGGGAATGGATTCAGCTGCTCTCTGAAAGCTCCGCACCAGGCAGCTGATCTCGGTTAGCTCCATAGAGAGAATGGCTTGGGTCTAATGGCCCAGTGTCGTGGTTAGAGGATCGAGTGAGGAAGCCGCTGGACACTTGTTCTTAAGGGTGTCTTGCGCAGCACCCCGAGTGCTCCTCACACAGCTGTTTCAAAGCCAACCGAAGTGAAATGCTGCCCTAGTTGGGGTGTCTGCCGCTGTGAAGAACTCCTGTAAAGGAAAACATTTGACTGGGGCTCACTTACAGTTTCAGAGGTTCAGTGCATTATACATCATGGTGGGGAAAATGGCGGCATGCAGACAGACGTGGTGCTGGAGGAGTAGTTGAGAGTCCAACGTCTTGCAGGCAACAGGAAATGGTCTTTGACCCTGGGAGTGGCTTGAGCACGGGAGACCTCAAAGCCCACTCCCACAGTAACGCTTCCTCCAACAGGGCCACACCCACTCCAAGGCCACACCTCCTATTGGAGTCAGTCCTCTGGGGTCTGTTTTCTTTCAAACCACCACACTTGCCAGAGGTATTTTTACTGGAGTTGGAATATGTTGGATTATTTGTGAGCCTAGCCACATTTTGTCTCTAATTTTGTTTTTGCTTTTGTTTTGTTTTGTTTTTTGAGACAGAGTATTATGTGACACATAGTGGCCTTGAATTTGCTATCTAGTCGAGGGTAGCCTAGCACTGACCCTCCTGTTGGGATTACAGATGTATACTACTGCATCTGACTTGTCCCTAATTTTTACCTTGTATATTAACTAGACAAGTTATTCTCTGCTCTATTTGTGGAGAAATGGTTCTGTAATTTTTCTGGACTGTTTATTTCGGTATAGGTTGACAGCGCTCCACATCTGTAGGATTGCTTAAAGTGAGGGCGTTCGCTGAAGTGGCATTCGTCTGTGGGGAGAGCACTCCATTGTATGTAAAGGCTAGCGTGTGTGTGTGTGTGTGTGTGCGTGTGTGTGTGTGTGTGTTTTGATCTCTTTGTGCTTCCTGAAGCTGATCCTAGAAGACAGCTGCTGCCTGCCCTTGCTGTCTGGGGGTCTAGTCCTATCACTGACAACTGAGCAGAACGTTATGCTAAACAGATGTTTTAGTAGTGTATGTGTGTGTGTGTGTGTGTGTGTGTGTGTGTGCGCGCGCGTGTGACGGCTGCCATTGGACTGACTCAGGTCTTTGCATTTATGTTACAGTTTTATAGGCGTTTATCAGAGGAAATGACACAGAGAAGGTGGGAGAATGTGCCAGTTTCCCAGTCATTACAAACAAATAAAGGACCCCAGGTATTGTTGTAGCTATTTGTAAGTGTAATATCTTCTTTTCTGTTTGTCTTCGAGACAGGGTTTCTCTGTAGCTTTGGAGCCTATCCTGAAACTACCTCTTGTAAACCAGGCTGGCCTTGAACTCACAGAGATCCACCTGCCTCTGCTGGGATTAAAGGCGTGCACCACCACCGCCCAGCTTGTTTGTCTTCTTAAGACAGGGTGACCTAGAATTTTGTGTAGCTCTGCTGGTCCCATTCTTGAAGTGGTCCTCCTGCCTGAGCCTCCCAAATACTGGGTGTGAGACACAAGACCCAGCCAACACACTGTTTTCATTTCTGTACTTACACACTCTGTAGGAAGACTCTGGGCACGTGGTCGTGCATACCTTTAATCTCAGTATTTGGAAGGCAGAAGCAGGAAGATCTCTGTGTATTTAAGGCCAGTTTGGTCTACATAGTGATTTCTGGGATAGCCAGGGCTACATTAGAAAGACCCTGTCTCGGTAGAGGAGCGGGTCCTGGGGTCATAAGAGCAGAGCTGTCCCTGCCCCTCATGAGCTGCAGCACTGGGGAGAGTGACCTCGTACCTGTGGCTCCTGTATGGGTGAGTTAGCTGGGGCAGTGCTGGAGAGCTCACCCTGGTGGTGGGGACAGGGGAGAACTGGTGGATTGACCAACCCTGCAGATGCCCAGGTCCAGAACCAGGCTATGGCTTGTCCTGCCCCAACATCTATGCCATCTGTGATCTACTGGAGCATGGGAAGGGTCCTGACCTGCAGACCCAAAGCTGCAGGGTCTCCACGACACAGCGACAGGACATCCACGAGGAGTGTCAGTGAGGGCCCGGCTTCCATGGTGGCGTAGAAACCAGGGGCCGTAAACCAGACCAGTGACCACTTGCACTATGTGACTCATCCTGTCACACTGCAGCTTCCATGACGAGATTTTTTTTTCCCCTTTTTAAATTTTGTTTTACTGGGGGAGGTTGAAGAGGCAGAGGACAGATGCAGAGGGACAGGGAAATGAGTGGGATCAAGATGCAGGATGGGTAAGACACAATAAATACAAAGAAAGTTTTTAAAAAATAACTTATTAAAAGACATAGTATCTTTTAGTAAAAATAAACCACTATTAGTTATCGGTTGAAAGAAAAAAAGAAAGAACCTGTCTCAAAAAACCAAAACACAGAAGGAGGAAGAAGACAACGAATACAAACTCTCTGTGATCACACACTTGTCAAAAACAAAGTAATAGAATTCTGCTTTTTAAAAAAATTTTGAATTTTCCTGGGAATTAGTCTGAATCAGTCATCCAGCTGAGGACAGGCACTCACATGTGAGGAAACAGCTTGTTAATAACTTGTCAAATACAAGAATTTTAGCTACAGTTTTATGCATTTGATAGATTATTAGTATCTTATATGATAGATCTTCAGAAAATAAAAAAATGAATAAGAAGTTTAATTATACCTAAAATACAGAGAAACGCGTGCATGCCGTTGGTTATATATTTATTTTTCCTTTGCTATTGAAGGTCATTATGTACAAGCAGAAGGAGACGCTTTGGAGAGGAAGCTAGACGTAACTGTCTGCTGTGGTCTGTGGGCTCTTTCCCACCTTTGAAAAGTCAGTGTAGTTTACAAAAGGCTTTGTTTCCTTCCGTTTTGTATATCTTACGATCTAATTGTTTTTTGGTTTTTGTTTTTCTTTTTTCTTTTACAGCCAGGAAGAGTAAGAGCTGTAGGGATTGTAGGTATCGAAAGGAAACTCGAAGAAAAAAGAAAAGAAACCGACAAAAACATTTCTGAGGTAATCCCTAGACATCTTCCTGCAGCTGTGACTACTTACATTCTGTAATTTGGAATTTATTTAGTTTGCCCAAAATTCCATAGTCTCCTGTTTCCTACGACAGACCTCCCTCACCGTGGCACATTTTGATCCAGCTTTTTCTTCTGCTCACACGTGCAGAGAGGGCCGGGAATAGAGAGCTGTTCTCTGTTGTTAGTATTCCTGTTTCGGAAGGGGGCTGTGATGTTCAAAATAAAGTTCTTTAATTCTGAAATAAGCTATGTTATTTCAGGAAATAAATTATTCCTATGGATTCTCACCCTCAGAGAATTCTCCACAGGAGTTATGTTGTGTTACAGAGGCTGACTTGTTTAGGAAATAGTTCTTGTTCTCCACACGTGGACCTGCGTAAGAAGCTCTGACTACTGTCGTGGTCCCCTAGGTAGGCAGGCAAACTGGCACTGTCGGCATGTAAGACACGCCTGGTGACAAGAAAACTCGGCCTCTAGAAGGGACTCATGACAGAGGCCTTGATATTTGTTGGGATTAGGAAGACCCGTTAGCAGTGGGGAGATGGGCTGGAAGGCCAGGATGTGTGGTGTTAGCAATGTCAGCAGGAAGGAAAGGTCCAGCAAGAGGAGCGGGATATGCAAAGGCAGGACTCACAGTACTGAACAGAAAATTCAGACGTCTGGGAATCGCTGACGAGATGAATAACCAGTCCCTGCAGACGAGCACACGGCGTCTGTGGGTTTAAAGCAGAACTACAATGGAAGTTTCACTGTGGTGTGGATAACAATAGAACGCTCTGTAAGCCGAGGACTTAATAATAGAACATGCGTGTGCATCTTTCTTGCTATAATTTTTATTTTATATACCTTCCCATACTTTAAGAAACTGTTACTTGTGTTTTGTAATTAATGTTTTAATTACTTAAAACATTTTTTAGCCAGTTCTTTTAAAGTGCTGTGGAATTTCTATTTGTTCTACTGATTACACGTGATAAAGGATATATTCTGTGTAAACTCAAAATGTTTCAGGGTTTTTTTTTTTTGCTATGAAAATATAGTGATTTCTCATAGCGTTTTTCCTTCAACAAGTGAAATAAATTTATTAACAGCTTGTGTAGTAGTGTAAAAATCTAAGTTTACACGATGTGCCTTTGATCTAGCTTTGGTGTGTGCTTTAAATGTTAGAATTGACTCAGTTTCATAGCTGGTGCCCGGAGCCTCCCACAAAGGGCTTCCGGCATCTGCTGGCTCTTGCCGATAAGAACCCAGTGTCTAAGCCTTTGTTTATCTGAGGAAATTCCTGTGAGGTGTGTGCACGTTCCTTTTGTTTTCAGTGTTAGCTTAGTGAACTGGCTATGAGGATCTTACACAGTTATTCTTACACTATTCTTTGAGCTAAAAAAAAAAAAGGTTTTTCAGGTGGGGGTACTTCCGCAGATTGTCACCGCTGATCAGAGCCACATTGTGTATGTCAGACCACTGTGTGCGTGGAGTTCTTGCTTAACTGACTCTCAGAAAAAAAAAGAAAGAAAGAAAGAAAGGAAGGAAGGAAGGAAGGAAGAAAGAAAGGAAATATCCATGCACATCACTTAGTTGAGAAATTCTACAGTATATTTTCAGCAACCTGAAATAATTTATTAGAAACATATCTGACTGAGATTGAAGAAGCCCTCGAAGTAGACATGCAAAACTGTGTCATGGCTTACTGTTCCAAATCTACAGCTCAGTTATAATTATATCCAAAAACGGTATTCCTGCAGCTGGGTATTGTCATTTTTAACCTGGAAAGCATTTTACTCTCTCCCTCTCTCTGTGTGTTTGTGTGTGTGTTAGCCATGGCATAACCTAGAACCCCACCAATGCCAGAAAAGCATTCTGTCACTGAGCCATGCCCCAGACTGAGATTTTCTTGTATGTGTTCATAAACACTAAATAATAATAATAATATTAAATAATAATAAATCTGTGATGTCTGCCGTGTTAAGTTTGGCTAATCTGGTCATATCCGTTTTTCCTTTGTAAGTTCTTAGTTCTAGTATTTGGTTAGCATTAAAATCATCTATGGAAAGTTTGGTTGTAATTTGTTTGAGAAACTTTGCAGTTTCTTAAAGTAGACTTTTAAAATGAGGTAGATGTGTTGCTTATACAATTAATAGTAAATTGATATTTGTGAAAAAAATGTTTATCGTGGCTTTAAAACATTTTAGTTCTTTAAAAAGATTGCAATACAAACTTCATTTCTCATTTCAGGCCTTTGAAGACCTTAGCAAGCTAATGATCAAGGTAGGTGTCCCGTGTTCCACTCAGATTCAGCCATGATGACCTTGAAAGTATATTTTCCTTTTTCTTCTTTTTTCGAGACAGGGTTTCTCTGTAGCTTTGGGGTCTGTCCTGGAACTAGCTCTTGTAACTCAGGCTGGCCTCAAACTCACAAAGATCCGCCTGCCTCTGCCTTCCTAGTGCTGGGATTAAAGGGGTGTGCTACTGCCTCCTGGCTGAAAGTCTATTTTCTTAGAAGAGCCTTTGTCCTTTCTTTTTCAGGCTAAGGAAATGGTAGAGTTATCAAAATCGATCGCTAATAAGATTAAAGAGAAACAAGGTGACGTCACAGAAGATGAGGTGAGGATGCTTTTTTATCTTTGAAGTGGTAGATGCCAGATAGAAGGTAGTGATGTTCTTGTGGTTGACCAGTTCTCTCTCCCTGTGGTTGACCAGTTCTCTCTCCCTGTGGTTGACCAGTTCTCTCTCCCTACTACTGAGCTATGCCTGTAGCTTCTCATGTTTTCTGCCTTCCAAACTATTTTTTATTACACTTATTTCCTTATTGAGGTGAGCTGTCCTGCAGCATGCAGGTGGTGGATGGAGGACCACTCGGAAGAATTGATTCTCCCCTTCTACCATGCAGATCCTGGGCATTGAATTGAGATGTTCAGGTGGCAAGTGTAGTTGCTCACTGAGCCATCTCACTGGCCCTGCTTTCTTAGTGTGACGTTTTTATTGCTTGCGTGTGAAGTGCTAAGGAGAAATTAGATCATATTCTTTTTCGCTAGTTCTACAGGGGTTCAAGATTATTCTGTGTTCTTTCTTACGGTGTAGGAAATAAAGCTATTGAAATATCTAAAGAGTTGCAGAGTAGCTGTTCCATACAAATCTGTGATGTCTGCAGTGTTAAGTTTGGCTAATCTGGTCATATCCATTTTTTCTTTGTAAGTTCTTAGTTCTAGTATTTGGTTAGCATTAAAAATAGCTTAATTACTACCTTTCTCTCACATAAAACTGAAAATAAACAGCATGAGACTGGGGTAGAAGGGCGGATATTTGTTCAAGGAACAACGAAGGAGCTCACTGCCCTGAAGTCCACGGCATAGAAACACAGTAGAAGGCATGGCTATCTAGAGAAATAACTGTGCACCTTGAGCTTATGATGAAGAGTTTCAGCCGTCGTGCAGAGAAACTGTTTTCCAGTCTGCTGATGCTTTTCCCACCCTCTTACAGACCATCAGGTTCAAGTCCTACTTGCTGAGTATGGGAATAGCCAACCCAGTTACCAGGGAGACTTATGGCTCAGGTACACAGTACCACATGCAGCTGGCCAAACAGCTGGCTGGAATATTGCAGGCACCGTTAGAGGTAGGTGAATCCAAACCCCTGCTTTCCAAACACTGCTAAATTATTTCCATTAGAAGTCTCAAGAGCCTAACCGTTTTCATCATGTGGTTGACATTAAATGACGTGGGTTTTTCTTCCAGGAGTATTAAATTGGCTTAGGTTACTATTAATTAGCTTTAATTGTAATCTTCAAAACTACTTTTAACTTCCATTTCAGGTGTTTGTACTTCATTAAGTCTGTTTGGTGAGACTTTTTCCTGATTTCAAAGGATCTTTCTTTTTATAAATATATTTCTCTCTAGTCTGTATTTTTGTTTGTTTTTAAGACATGATCTCATTTTGTAGCCCAGGCTGGCTTTGAACTCACCATCCTCCTGCCTCTGCCTTTCTAAGGCCTGGGATTATAGACTTGAACCACCATATCTGGCTATGTTTAGTTTTTTGTTTGTTTGTTTGTTTGTTATTGTTTCTTTGTTTGGGTTTTGTTTGTTTGGTTTTGTACAGGATCTTTCTACATAGCCCTGTCTGTCGTGGAGCTCATGTGTTGGCCTTGAAAGATCCGCCTGCCTCTGCTTCCTGAGTGCTGGCATTAAAGGCACATGTACCACTGTGCCTGCCCCCATATCTAGTCTTTTTAGTTCCTGCTAATAGTTTTGTAGTGTTTTTTTGTGTGTTTTAAATATATGCTAAACTAAGTGCCATGGCGAATCATTGTGTGTCCATCATCTGTCTTCATCAATAAATTATTTTAAAGCAGATAATCTTGTATGTAAATCTTCTAATCCCTGTAATGTTACTAGACTAATGGAAACACAGCTACAGCGTCAGTATCACTCTCTCACCTAAAACACTACAAACCTTTAATGTCAAATGTCTGGTCTGTGTTCACATGTTTTGGTTTGCTTTTAGTTTTTTGTGCTGATGGTCAACATAGGAATTTGTATATCCGCCTAGCTGCAACTCCAGCCCCAAGTTGTGTTTTGTTTCGTTTTTATTTAATTCCAGCTTCTCTGGGGAGAAACTGGTAGTTTACCCTACAGAGTATAGTTTGACTGACTGCGGTATTAACATGTTTCTCATTCTACACGTTCTCTGTCACCTGTTATAAATAGCAGCCTTTTATGACAAGAATATTTTATAGGGGATGTTGTACATCTCTGTCAGTAGGTATGTAGTATCTGTCTGTCTGTCTGTCTCTCTCTATACACACACATATACATTGCTAGATACATAGTTAGCAGCCCTTGACGGTCATTACTATATAATGTTATTATTTCATTAAGGGTTACAAAATTATGGTATCACTTATTTCTGTCCTTTCTTCCTTTACTAACATAAATTACTTAAAACATTAAATAAACATAAAAGTTTGTTAACATTTAATGAGCCTTCCTCTAAGAGGCTTCAAGTCACCAGGTCGCGTGGCCCCAGTACCCTCAGCCTTCTCCTCAGCTCCGCTCTGAAGAGTCGGAGCAGGTCTCCAGAACTCTGCCATGGCTTCCGTGCACTTGCCAGTAAGGGAGCAGCTCCAGGCTTATTTGTGGCACCAGCTACCTGAGTCTGATCCCAGACTGATGTCCACAGTTTATCAAGGCTCTGGTCCCTCTTACGTGGTTTTGCCTCATCCCCACCTTCCTGAATTAACCAAGGCGATGCCTGTTGAAGCTTACCCTGTGGTGACAGGCTGCCAGCGTTACTCTGGCCTCTTGCTTCCAGGGTTTGCAGATATGGCTGTGTCACACGTGGCCCCTGAGTTCTCCAGTCTTTCTCAGTCTGAATCACACCTGCAGTCAGGAGACTAAGGACAGTTTGGAAGCCTGGTGCAGCTGTCCTCTTTTCACCTAAGCGATGGTGGAGTCCGTATGTAGAATTCGAGGCACTGCGGAGGATGTCAGTAGGCTCTCTTGTATATAAATACAACTTTTTAGGAGAAAGCAATGTAATTTGTGATTTCACTCAGATTATGATTTCTCTTAGGAAATGCTAAATACTTGATTTTTTTCCTCTGTCCTTTTAATAGGAACGTGGGGGAATAATGTCGCTCACAGAGGTGTACTGTTTAGTGAACCGAGCTCGAGGGATGGAGGTAAGAACACGTTTCCGTGGTCCCCCTCTAGTGAGTGCACATTGATTGTGAACATCAAAGCTGTTTTCAGAAGCAGTGTGATGAGAGGAAAGGGATTGGCCTGGGCTGGCTTTGCCAGCGACTGCTGAGTGACTTTGAGTGAACTTTGAGGGACTCAGTTTTGTCGCCTTAAAAGTAAAGGTTTGCAGTGAGTGACGCCTGCCAGCGCTGAGGTCTGTGTACTGCAGTGAGTGGAAGCTTTTCCTCTGAGTGTTTAACTCTTGCAGGCTCAGCTGGACTCAGATTTCTTGGTAGATAGCGCAGAGACAACGCCTCCTTACACCTTTGGCTGAGTATCAGTAGGCGCTGTTCTTTAGGCCCTATGCTCAGTCACACCCGGTGCGTGACCTTGGAGACTCTTTCCTGGTGCTCTTGGTGCCCCCGCAGTCCAGTGCAGCTTGGGTAAGCTGCTACTTCTGGCTCACCCAAGTCCCGGAGTGCACCCCGTCCTGTCATCAAGCACACGAGTGTCGATGAGGTGCACACCAGCTGTTAGCTCACTTAGCCTCTCCTGCTTTTATCGCCCCCACCTTCAGGTAACCTGGGAGTGAGGAAACTGAGGGGTAGATTGAATAACTTGACTGAGGTCACCTGGAGATGGTGGTTTGACAGTGCTTAGGCTCAGCTGGCTCTGGAGCCGTCCCTCGCGACTCAGAGCTGTGCTTGTTCTACCACGGTGCGGATTTATTAAGGCTGCACTATCAGAACGGAAGCCACTGGTAGCTACACATAGCAGTCTGAATTTATAAAACAAGTATAAGATAAACAAAGGTCAGCATCCATGTCAGTATCTCAAAAAAACATTTTTGTTGTTATTTATTACAGTGGTGGAGCTTGAACCCAGGGCTTTCTACATGCTGGGTGAGAACTCCACTCCTCAGCTGCGTTCCCAGCCCCTTTCCTTCTCCCTTTCTCTGTGGGTACCGGAGATTGTGAGACCATGCGTGTGACCTGCACCGCGTCTCTATTGGGCAGAACTGCCGAATGCTGTCTTTGGCTTCTTTGTTTATTCTTTTGTCCTTGAAATTGAGTGACCTACAGACTTGATGAATAGCATTTTTCCTACTTTATAAAAAGTGTTTTAAAGTTTATTATTAACAAGAACTTGGAAATAAAAATGTCACATACCAAAACTTACCAGACTCAAAGTCTGTACAACTCAACAAACTTCTTTGTAGTTAGAAATGGCGTTCAAAATGGAAGCTATGAGGCTTCACATTAAATTTACACTTTTAGATTCCTGTTTGATATCCTTATCCACCATCAAACTCTAAAATTTCTTGACAGAATAATAGCTAGAAAAATGGCTTTTTATCCTCTTTCATACCTTGTGTCCATCACCGACATTCAGTTCTTCAGCCCCTTGTGTTTAGCCTTTTTGTTCTCTTCTTTCTGTTACATACTGTACCCACGCGTACATTTCTTTGCACATACACACACTCACATTCACACATTATTGGCTAGCGCCCACATGTCAGAGAGAACATGAAGTTTTTTTTCCTGAGAATATATGACTTCAATTAATATTATACATTTTAAGATTATCCATTCCCTGTAGTTTTGACTTCATTTTTCTTTAGAGCTGAGCAATATTCATGTGTGTGTGTATACAATATATATAAATTTTCATTACACATTCATCTGTTGATGGACAGCTAGGTCGAATCCCGTTCTTTGCTCTAGTGAATAAAGCAGCAATAAACAAAGGGATGTAGATCTCTGTAGGTCCAGAGCTCTCTGGGTCATATGTCACTGACTTCTTATTCTGTTGCAGTGGTTATTACAGCTGTACAGAGCCATTCTATTGCTTTGCAGTGTTAACTGGTTTCTTTTTTCCTCATTAGTTGCTCTCCCCAGAAGATTTAGTGAACGCATGCAAGATGCTGGAGGCGTTAAAATTGCCTGTCAGGTAAAGGACTCTCCACAGGAAGTTTGCCAACTGGAACCATGATTCTGCCTAGACCTGAAAGTCCACCCAAGCCTTCTACTGTGCATGGCAAGCCAGATGATGCCCTCTTGAGGCTGTGCCATATGTGACCTGAGTGTGTCGCCCCCCCCCCCCGCATGTACTACAAGCATCTTCTGCCCTCCTGCCTTCATCCTATCAGGGATGGGTGGGTCCCTGCACAGATCATATTCAGACTTGTGATTTCCGAGAGGAAACTCAGAAGAATTCACCTCTGAGCCTCCTGCAGTGCACATGTTCAACTCAGAACTGCATTCTCCTTATCCTTGGGCTAAAAGCTCCCTGAACTGGAAAAAAAAAAAAAGCTTTATCATGTAGATTGTGGCCCATAGTTTTATTGTCTGTTAATTCTTTAATTCTGTTATAGTTGCATGTAGTTATTATGGCTTAAGCATTGTGTGATTGTCCTCGGGCCTGGGCATTAAGTAAAGTAGACTGTGGCTTGCTTCTCCTTTGTGGTTGAACATCTTAGAAATACCCACACTGTTCTCACATCTGTGTTTTCCAGGCTTCGGGTTTTTGACAGTGGTGTCATGGTAATTGAGCTTCAAACCCACAAAGAAGAAGAGATGGTGGCCTCAGCCCTGGAGACAGTATGTGAATCCGTTTCCCTCAGTCCTTAGAGCTTGCCACAAAGACCCAAATGCATAGCGACTTAAGAAGCAGGATTCACTGTTGGATTTAGCTAGAAAGTCATTCACAGGGTCAATGCTTTGTGGTAGACAACGATGTTTTCATTCAACCAGCATCCATAGTAAAAGTTTTTGAAGTATTTGTCTCCCTTAACATCTTAATGAGGTGCTTGCTTTCCCGCTGCAGCTCAGCATTAGGAGCAGGTTTTCAAGTCACATCCTTTACTGGAGCTGATTATAACTCTGTGGGCCCCTTACCAGAGCCTGTGACACACACAGTGTGCTGTGCTCTAGGCTTTCATACAGTGCCTTGTTACATGAACAGCTCTGTGTTGGTTTGTAGCCTGTGGTCTGCCTGTTCTGAGCCCAACAACTTTCCTAGACTTGAGCTCTCTAGATTCAGTTCTGCTGGACTAGAGGGCTGACCAGCGAACGGTTCAGAACACTTGCTCTTGCAGAGGACCTAGGAGCAGTTCCCAGAACCTTCATGGTAATTCATAACCATCTGTAGCTCCAGTTCTGGAAGATCCCACCCCCTCTTGATCTCTGTGGGCACCGGGCACAAATGTGGTGTGCATCTCTGCAGGCAAAACACTCATGCACATAAAGATAAATCTAGAAGCAGGAAGGTCTAATTTTATAGTGACTATTTAGATTTTGGTAGAAAACCCAGTAAAGCATTTCCTTCCTGCACTGGTATGCATCCTCTCAGTGTATTGAAATAATCGTGGTTGTTGGTATTTTGTTTTGTCTTGTTTGTTTTCTGTTGTGTGTTATCACTAGGTTTCAGAAAGGGGATCTTTAACCTCAGAAGAGTTTGCCAAACTTGTGGGGATGTCTGTCCTTCTAGCTAAAGAAAGGTATGTAAGCCCTGCCCCTCACTGTGGTGTGTCGTATGTTTCTGGACGAGCAGATCATTATGGGATTTCTCTTATTTGTTCCCAGGCTGCTTCTCGCCGAGAAGATGGGCCATCTTTGCCGAGATGACTCCGTGGAAGGCTTGCGGTTTTACCCAAATTTATTTATGACACAGAACTAAGAATTTTGTATCTGACAGACCTTTTGTCAATACACTTGGCCTCATGCCAAGGTCATATGACATTGAGCTAAGCGATGAACACAAATAAACCAAGAATTTGTTAGAACTTCACAATATAATATAAAACTCTTACTCTTTCCCTAAAATTATGGTCTCAGAAGTGTATTTACATATAGGAAAAGACAGAACAATGAATGAATATGCATTTAAAGTCATGCTGTACTTGTATAGAACTCTTGGGTTTTAACTTGAAATATGGTGGATTTTAATTTGATCCTTGAATTTAGATCCTCAGGGGGAGAAGAAGTAAAGTTGCATGTTTGGATTCATCAGGTAATCATTTTTCTGTGACTAAATTTCACCAAATTGTGAATGTTTTTCTCTGCATCTGACATGCCCATCTTGGGCATTCATGAAGGAAGCAATAGCTACGCTGTAGTTCAAGAACCAATAGCACTGGAATAAAAGGTCAGACTGCAGAGAGCCTACCAGGCTCTTCCCCCGGGCTTGGGAAGCAGACCTAGGTGTATCTCTCCCGAGTCAGATAAAACTCTTTTAAAAAAGGATAGGGCTAGGGTCTAGCTTACTTGGCGAGCATTTGCCTAGAATGCAGAGGCCTTTGATTTCAGACCAACCACCCAAATAATGAGAGAGAGAGAGAGAGAGAGAGAGAGAGAGAGAGAGAGAGAGAGAAACTGTTATGCACTTACTCCTCAGTTAGATTCTTTGTAGTTTTTAAGTGATAATTTCATGACTGGCATTTTTAAAGACTTCAGCAGTATGACTTTGTTTAAGAAATGTGGATTTGGAAACTGAGTTAAAGAGCTGTACAGACACACCCAGAGCTGTAATTCCAAGTCTGAGAGCTGGACAGTTCTGGAAGGGCATTAACTGCATAGGACCTTGAGTGCTCTTCATATGGAAGCCAAGGATGTGAAACAGGAAATGGGAAAGCTGGCAGATCTCCTTTCTCCTCTCACAAGGAGTCTCAGCACTCGACTAGAGACATTCCTATCATAGTCCAGCCGTTTGCACTTCTTTGCGCCCTACATGTTTTAAGTTGTGTAGAGGAAACATCAGAGAGAAAGGAAAGTTTTTGATAGCAAAAACTGGTGTTATCATCTCTAGATTGCTGGAGTTAAGTCGGTTGCCTGACTTCATATGGATAGCACGTTGGCATTACCTCAGACTCTGGGAGTCCTTTCTGAAGCTTAGCTGGAAGAGGAAGAGGAGTGACAGGGTCGCCTGGGAGGGCACCTTGTGGATGAGGTGGAGGCCACTGCAGATGGCTGTGGAGAAGCGCCAGTGTCTGCAGCTGCAAACCAGGGAACTCCACTCCTGATCCCTTCCTGGGAAGTGACTGCCATTGCTTCCGTCCTCCAGTATTAATGAGGATGCTGCGGCCAAGGCAGCCTCCTTTAGTGTTGTTTTTCAAATCTGTCACTTATTTTCAAGTATGGTGACATCTCCCCTAGTCACCTCATTGTTTATCTCAGGTTTACTTTATGGTTAATTCAGTGTTGGCTACCAAATCGACTAGGGATTGTTTAGACCACTGTGTCTGTTAGTATGTCTCACCTCTATCTCGACTGCACGTAATCTGTCATTTGACTCTGGCAGACTTATTTACACACACACACACACACACACACACACACACACACATCCCTTGTCTGACTGAGGGTCTTTAAGTCAGCAGGTTACTGATCATCAGCCCTACCACTTGGGTTAGTTGTAAGGTTATCAGGTTGTAAGAGCTGCTGAATCCAGCTGTAATGGTTTGGATTCATCACAACAAACACATGACACATTTGTTTATTCAGTGTGACACCCAATTAACAAAAATGGAGCAATCTGATTTGTGGAATGTGAATGAAAGATGAAAAATGACATAAATATACTTTGATTTTTTTTTTTAAATCACTGTTTCCAGACCTTGGTTTATCTGTTTGACTTTTTTTCTTGCCAAATGTGTTGTTCTGGTTCTTTTGTTTCAGGCTGTGTTTAAATACAAACCAATCAAACCTAGGTGCAAAAATGTCTGCTTCGGTGCTCATCACTGGAATTTTGTTCTCTCACTTTGTCCTTAGGAGAACGAATCTCTTTGTGAATTTATAATGGAACAGTTTAGTTACTGTAAAGAAAAATAATTTACATTGTGTAATCAAAGGCCGTTTCCAGGGTTAGATGATCGGTGTTAATGTAGATAGAGTCAAATTATTGTGAAACTTTAAACTAATTTTCTTAACTTGGTGTTCTTTTTAAAATTCTTTGTAAAATACGTGAAAATGATAAATGTTTAGTCACAATAAGCCAGTATGAGAATTTTTCTAGCTTATAAAGCATTGCTTCTGAGTTGTCTTTGAAGTTTTGTAATTTTGTTATCTTAAAAAGTGGGAAACAAGTCATGAGCTATTTTAAAACTCCTGATTTAGAGCTCACTGTGGCCCAACTGTGTACATTCACATGGGTGGGTTACCATGTGTGCCCAGTTACTAGACTAAGCTGACCAGTTTCACACACACCATGTTTAAGAAGGTTATCTTTTGCCCAACAACCTCTGCATCTCCATCTTGGTACAGTGGAATCACATCTTGTCAGGTGGTTAGGTTTTTAAAACTTTGTCTAAGGTCAAAATAAAGCATGTTCAAAACGACCCTTAAAAAGTCTCTAAATGGCATATAAAGTTCCTCCTATGGTCTTACACTGTGAGTCCCTGGGGAATGTATAGCGGTATAGATTTTTCTGCATACAGTAAACACGGTCTGTGATGATATGCATGCCAACAGTGGACTTTTAACAATACTTACACTGCTGGAATGTGTGTTTTGCCGTACTTGCCAGGAGATATAGTTGGATTTATGTAAATTTGTTGCAAATCCTTCCTTTTAGGATAGACCTAGAGTGCAAGCTTAACAAAGACAGATTTTTCTGGCTTGTTCATGGATCTATTCCCCAGAGTCTGGAACAAGGTTTGACACACAGTAAGCATTCAGTAAATATTTACTGAATAAATTGTGTCTATCTCTATATCTAACTATCTATCTATCCATCCACCCATCCATCTATGTAACACACACACACATTTATTGAAAACTAGGCTTTACTTCAGCTACTTAAACCCTCATTCAGTTTAGTTAAAAAGACTTTTCTAGACTACATAGGGATTTTACATAAGAAGCTCTGAGAAGAAGGTAACATCTTAGGAAAGCAGCAGTGGAAACAACTCTCACTGAAGGTAGGAATCACCGGAGTGAACCATCACACCTGATTGAAGGAACCGTCTAAACTTTTTGTAGTTTCTTATTTTTATTAGTCCTATGAGAACTCCATACAATGTATTTTGATCCTAATCATCCACGTCTACTCCCAGATCCATCTGCTCCCCATAAGCTCCTGGACATGTGTGGGCCGTAAGGGGCCACGCCCTTAAGGAAAATTGACTCCTCCCAGCAGCCGTAGGTTGCCAACAGCTTCCTGTCAGGGACAGGATTTCATGTCCATCTCCCACCTCCCTGCTGAGGGTTGGCTTGAGCTTGTGCAGGTCTGGTGCAAACCGACTCAACAGATGGGGATTCCTGTGTGCACTAACTGCCCTGCCGTCTCCAGAGAGCACTGTCCTTCTAGTCATCCACTGCCTCCGACGCTTACAGACTTCCAGCTTACGGACTTCTGCTGTGATCCCACACACAGTCCTCGGAGGAGAACATGTGATGGAGATGTCACGTTTTGGCTGAGAAGTCCACGCTCTCTTAGTCACTGCGCCTTGATAGGTGTGGGTCTCTTAATTGTTATCTACTTTAAAAAGAAGCTTCTCTGATGATGCTTGAGAGCTGTGCTAAGTCATTAGGAGTAGTTTAATACTATGTCCACTAGTACAGGAACAGTGATAGGTTCTCCCCTAAGGCCTGTGACTGTAGGTTCTCAGCCCTGATCAGAGGGCCACTTATGAGTTTCAATTTACACAGCAGGCCTTAAAATTAATCAGAAAGTGATTGGTTACTCCCATGACACTTGTGCCAGTATTGTAAGAGTGGACATGTCTTGCTAGGCCAATAATTGTTACAGTTCTCAAGGTTCACAAGAGGGTAATATTGGTGATTCCTTTTCTCCTCAGGTAGCATGCATGCACCCTTCCCGTGTTATGGAAATAGAGATGGAGCTTCCAAGTTCCAGCTTGATTTCTATGTCCTATGATTCAGGTGTGTGGTAACCACCACAGAACAACAAATGAAACCCTGGTGCCAAGAATGGGTTTCCTCTTTTGGAGCTGTTGGCCAGTGAGGTAGCATTTACCCCCAAACATTGCGGACTGTTGCCTGTGCTCTTAGTTAGTCTTTGGAGTCCTCTGTTTTGATGGTAAGCTCCAGAAGTTTTGTACAAGACTTGGATAAAGACAGCCCAGTCTCAGAAGACAGAAACTGTCAGTAAGTAGAAGACACAGGGCTGAGCCCAAAGAGGTCCTTGTTGCTGACCTATGCCTTGGTCTGCCCAGGTTTCCTTTCCTTACCGACTTCCACTCACCCACAATAACCTAAGTCATCCCACACCTGTCCCGTCCCACCTGCCCTAGAAAAACCTGTTTGCTGCAGAAATGGCTCTGTTTTAAAACCTGTGAAAGTTACTGTCTGCCTCATGTTTTAATTATACTTTGTCCTGTTATTTTAACTGTTGCTTTGAGACCACAAGAAAATGCTGACTTTCTTTAAGTTCAGAGTTGGTCAGTTGCCACATCCTATGTGGCTTGCATAAGACCCTGGGCTCAGGTAGAGAGAGAATGAAGCAAGGACAGACAGGACAGACATACACAGATAACTTGTACAATAAAGAGACACACCTACACAGACAGCATGTGGAATAAAGCTGGATCAGGTGGGGCTCTCTAACCACTACCAGAACCTCAACCTCAGCATGTTTGTTTTTTCATTAGGTTTGTGGTTTTAATCTGTTGATTTACAGGCAAATCGTCAAACTATGGTTTGACAAACACAGTGGACAAATACAGTTACCTAGCAATGAAAAAACAACATGCACCAACCCAAGCTCTCCATGAACTGACCTCAGGACAGCAATGTTGAGTAGCAGGACTAATTCATGGCTGTCCCAGGGCATATGTGGCCCGTAGACTGAAGTTAGACATGATGTGCCTGTTGGCGTAACTCCTCAAAGAATTATCTGTTTCCTAACAGTTTGAGACATAATTGATACTCAACAAGCTACACAGTTTAAAGTAGGAAATTTGTTGTTTTGAACTAGTCATGCATACAACTAGGAAGCCATATTGTAGTTGCCCCCAAAGATTTTTCTTGTGCCACTTTATTCTCGGCCACCACCCTTCCCCTCCTCATCTCATTTTCTCACCAACCATTGATCTCTTTCTGTCACTATTACAAGAGTCTGCATTTTGTAAAGTTTTCTATAAATGGGGTCATAAGTTTGACTTGATTTTTGTCTTGTTCTTGTTACTCAGCATCACCATCCTGCAGTCAGTCCATGAAGAACTCAAGTCAATAGCATATTCATTTTGTTGCTGGATAACAGTCCACTGTATGGGCCATGCCACGAACCTCAGCATGTTTACTAAAACGGGAAGGATTTGCCAGTCTCTAGTCTCATCTCTGCAGGTGAAGTCTCGGGCCTTAAACGTCAGGAGGAGAAAACTGCAGTTGCTAGTCTTTGCACACACTAACCAGTCATTCATAAATACTCATATTCAGGCTCCCAAGGAAAACTCTGCTATTCCTCTGACTCATAATGGGCAACAGCCTTGCCAATTTATGGCAGGCCAGTCAGCTTTGGTGTCCTCCACAGGCTGTGCCCATGCCAAAACACACACTCACTCAGGACTTCCCTCGCTCACAGCCTACAGTCAGCATGTAGTAATTCCTTTAAATCCTTACTGTCCTACATCATTCAACGTACACAGTATGTTTCTAATTGAGTGCCAACTTCACTAAATGCCTTTTGGCTTAACAGTCCCCTCCTTCCAGGAGGCTTCTCAACCAGCTCAGCCTGTCTGAAATCTGCCTGTCTTACTTGAATTCTAAGATATGAGCCATAGGTCTTAGAATGTAGGAGGCACTCCTGAAAAGTCAGTGTGCACACATGTAAGATCTTGCTTTCGCAAGCTGTTGTTAGAGTGTGAAAATTGGGTCATCTATGTTCTTATTTGTGTCACTGAGTTATGATTTCCAGACCATTGCTTATTAAAATAAAGAAAATTGTATACAGATGGTTATTAAGTGTATAAATTTTACAGTTGCGCAGGTCACTAGAAGAGTTGCTGACTTAGAAAGAGTTCAGTGTGCTGGAGTTAGAACCCTGGGCCTTGCATGTGCTGGGTTGAGTGCTCTTTCACTGAGCTGCATTCCCAGCCAGAAGTCAGTGCTTGTTAAAAGCCGGGTTGAGTTCAGTTCAGAGATCATCCCATTGTCCTTCAAGAAGATTTTCCTTCCTCTTATATTGCCTTTATTTCAGATTTTATCTTATTTGTAATACAGTGTCTTATTTGGAGTTTCTGTTGCTGTGATAAAACACTATGACCAAAAGCAACATGGGGAAGAAAAGGCTTATTTCAGCACAGCCCATCACTGAGGGAAGTCAGCGCAGAAACGTGGAGGCAGGAGCTGATGCAGAGGCCATAGAGGGATGCTGCTTACTGGCTTGCTCCCCATGGCTTGCTCAACCTGCTTTCTTAAAGAACCCAGGACTGCCAGTTCAGGGGTGGCATCACCCACCATAGGCTGGGCCCTCCTCCATCAAATACTAATTAAGAAAGTGCCCTACAGGCCTGCCTACAGCTGATTTTATGAAGACATTTTTAAAATTTGTGTTCCCTCTCAGATGACTCTAGCTTGTATCAAGTTGACATAAAACTAGGCAGGACAATCATTTTGTCATGAACTATAACTAATATAAAAATGGCAAAACATTTCAATAAAATGCATGGAAGATCTAAGTCACACCCAAAGGGTCATCATTTTTTCTTTCTTTTTTTTGTGAGAGTGTATTTGGAAAGGTTAATACATAACAAGGTGACTTTTTGCTTCTCTCAAGCCGCACAAAACTTTTATATACCTTTTATAGCAGAGAAAAGGTGGGATTAAGCAACCCAGGGCAACCTGGGATCAGCAGGCTTGGCAGGAAGACTACCTGCTGAGCTATCACAGGTCTTCCATGGACCTTTGCTTTTTGTTTTCTAAACCAAGAGTACCAGAGACTATATGGCATACGTTTGAAAGGAATCCTAACTTGAGTTGACAAATGGGTATTGAAGGAGAGAATTTTGACGGTGGTGAAAACAGAAGACAACCCTGACGCTTCCTTGCACTTCAACATTCGGCAAATGGTGTATTATAAAACATTCAGAAACAAATATCTGCTTCCTCTCATCTCCTGGTCACACTTGCTAAGCAAGATCTCCACCACTGATCCTGTGTTGCCATTCCCACCACCCGCTCTCAGACACAGGATCTCATGTAAGTAGCCCAGGCTGACCAGGTACTTTAAATCCTCCTGCCTCAGTTTCCCCAGTTTCCAGGATTAGTCATGTGCACCACATTAAGCTCTTAAGTCGCAGGGGTTTGACTCCTGCACAGTCAGTTCATACAGTTGAGTCCGAACATGCTGCACTCCTCCGGGATTTCCTGATACCTCCTCCTGGGTGCGGGCCCTCTGGAGACTGCTCTTACTTGTATTACCATGAATTTTGTCTGGGACGTGGTTCATTTTATGTAAAAGAAAACTCGCTGCCCGCCACTGAATGACAAGCACAGCTGTTAAACCATGCGAAACGCATCCAATTCTTTTAGATAACATTTTCAGAATGGACTTTTTAAAATGTTTGTTTTTAATTTAATTAATACCAAGTTTGGCTCCAGAGGAAGAAAAGAGGGAATGCACTTTACCTGAAGTATATATTTTTTTAAACTCCGGTGATATTTGGGGAAGCAAATGTACAGATCACCCATGTTCAGAGAGAAGAGAGAGAGAATGAGAATGAGAATATATATGTTGCTGGCTTGCCCTTAAAGCAGGCAGTGAGAGGCGGGCTATGAGTGTTAAGTCTGTGCTGTGTGACCGGGCACGGGCAGCGACCACACCTCCTCACAGGGCCTCTGGACCCAGGGTTTCCTGCAAGTTTCCTGCCTGGTGACTGGAGGGCAAGCTAGGGACAGGCAGGAAAGGAAGATGCTCTGCCCAGAAGTGGGGGCAGGGCGGACCTCTTGCGCTTGACCCCCGCCCTCCGAGAGCCCGCCTCGGGGCGTGGTCCCAGGCGGACCGGGAGGGTCCGGGAGGGTGCAGGGCGCAGGACGAGGGCGATCAGCAGCGGGACGCGGGATGCTCGGCCAGCCTCGCCGTGCCCGCTGAGGCTCCCCACTCGTCTCCCCCGTGCCAGCCAGACCCGACCAGAGGTAAGGATCCCGAAGCACAGGTGGCCCACGACCCGGGCGGGCACCTGGAGCGGGCGTGGCCGAGTGACGGGACTCACACAGGCTCAGAAGTGGAGTTCAGGTTTGGGACTTTTGGAAACTCGGCGTTGCGACGTAAGTTTGTAGCTTCCCGAAAAGAAATCTTTCTGACAATCAGCAACGGCCGTTAGTAGCAAGCTTTATGCTGACTGACCACCACTGGACCGGGTTTCCACCCGTGAACTTGACCGGCACCTTAGGAAAGTAAGTAGATGAGAAAGCTCAGCTTCGCGTGGAAGCAGCACCCGACCGTAGGGATAGAGAAAACTTGTTCACAAGTGCAGCTTTGGTATTTCCTCCTGTCAAACCTTATTCCTAGAAATACGCAGACGCCTTGCTTGTAAAATCACTTTGCTTCTTCTTTTATTCTTTGATAATGTCCAGTGAACGTTAAAGTAATTAATTTTCCTTTGTTGGAGGCTACGAAGCGTTTACTTAGTTGGTCTCTGGAAAAACTTGGCTTTAAGGGGAAGGGAAGCTCTTAGTCGCTGAGACTACCCACACCTCCCTAGCTAGTGCTTTTACAGTTTATCTGTAAACTTTTGTGTGTTACCTCCTAGCCCCGAAGGTTCAAATACAGGGCCTCACACATGCTAGACAAGCACGCTACCTAGCTGAGCTAAAATCCCAGGTGGTATACAAGCCTTTCAAACGTCTTGAAGATGTACCCAAGTTTTTATTTTCTAAAAATGATTCTCACACCGAGTATTCTAGAATTGGGAACATGGTGAAAGTAAATAATCAGGTAACTGCCCCCGGCAAAGTTAGAGACATATTATGATGATAATCATAATGCATCGTATGATGTACAGGTAGACTGGGTTCTTCTATAATTCCATCTCTGTTCATCTCTAAATATAGATCATTACACAAGTCTGTGTTTAACCGATCATCTTCATAAGCCAGAAAATATGATCACAGGAGTTTGAAAAGGGATATTATCCTGGAGAAGCAAGCCATCCCAGAAAGCTGACCTCATCTTTCCCAGTCTTTCCAGAAGTTGCTTCTGGGTGGGGTCTTATTATGTTTCCCAGGCTGGTCTCAGACTCCTAGGCTCAAGCCATCCTCCTGCCTCAGATTTTGAGGTAAGCATAGATGTTTTCACTGCGTCTATAGATTTCAGCCATGTTCCCCATTCAGATTCAAGTAAGTGGTTAGATCAGATCTGTAGCTAGTTCCACTAAAGCAGAATTTTCATTTTGGTCTGTTGAGGAGGGAAGGGAACCCAATTATCTGCATAATTAAACTGCGAACCCCTGCTTCCCTTTCAGGAAGTGCAGCATTTCCTTTGTTCAACCAGCTCTTACTGAACAAAAGCTAATAGAGACACACCAGTTTCCTTCCCACTGAACGGTGGGTGGCTTGTTTCAGCTGGCCTGCTTAATTCTGTTTATTTCTGCCCTTACCAGAGGTGTGCGGCATGTGTTTGAAATCTATACATGACGTGAGATAGAGGTGTACCTCAATGGCAGCGTGCTTTCTTAGCATGGATGAGACCTTGGGTTCAGTCTATAATGCCACAAGAAAAAAATGATCTATGACCAACAATGGACTCTAAGCATTAAGAAAACACACAATTGGTTATGTTTAATAGAACAGTTTGCTAGAGTCTGGTATGAAAAAAAAAACTACCTTTAAGCAGCCAAAAGTCTAGTATTTCTCTCAAAGTTTGGTATTCCTTCCTATAATTCGGTGTGAACCATGGTCCAGCAAGGTCTCCCCTGCCCACCTAGGTGGTCTGTATGACTGCTGTGTGACTCACCCATCTCCCCGATGCATATCAGTAACGAGTGTTGGAAGACCAGCAGGTGATGCTAGTTTTTGTCTCTTTTCTCTTTCGATTACCCAAACAAGAAAAGCAGGGCCACACGGAATTCACATTAAATTGTAACATACTGAATATTTATTGTTTTTTCTCAATTTTTTAAAAAAATTAAAAACGTTTTCTTTCAGTGAAGATATTTTTTTCATACAATGTATTCTGATTACAATTTCCCCTCTCCCTACTCCTCCCAGTTCCTCTCCGCCTTTCCTCCCATCCAGATCCACACCCTTTCTGTGTCATTTAAAAAACCAACAGGCAACTGAGGAATAATAATAAAGTAAAATACAGTAAGATAAATGAAAAACAGACGTCAGAGTAGAGTATGACCGACTAACCACATGTAAAAAGAACCAAAGGAAAGACACAAGAAATACATCTAGACTCAGACACAGAAGTTGGTACACACAGGAATCCCATCGAAACCCAGAACCAGAAGCCATAATATGGATGCAAAGGACCTGGAAGGTTAAAAAAAAAAAGGTGCCTTGACAACATTATGAAACAATGAACCTCCAAAGAGGCCCCTGAGTTCATTGTGTGTTGGCCATCTACTGCTGGGCATGGGGCCTGCCCTTAGGAGCGGTTTGTATCCCCAGTGAGATGCCCTTGGAGAAAATTAATCTTTCATTTGCAAGTGGCTATCAAAGTAGGTGTGATTTCTGGGTTAGGGGTGGGGGAATGTATCTGTTTCTCTCAGCTCTAGGACCCCATTTGATGCGGACCTATGCAGGACCTGTGCGTGCTGCTTTATAGTCTGTGTTCATATGGGTACCAGCCTGTTGTACCTAGAAGGCCTTGATTCTTTGATGTCCCCCTTCTGGCTTTTTACAATCTTTCTGCCTCCGCTTCCTCAGTTCTCTGAACCCTGAGGGGAGGGATTTGGTGGAAACCTCCCATTTAGGGCCAGGTGTTCCAAGGTCTCTCCCTCAGTGTATAAAAGATAACTTTCTCATATAATATACTTTAGTCATATTCCTTCTCCTCCCTCAGCTTCTTTCAGAGTCTCCCGACTTTCCTCCCCAACCAACTTCATGATCTCTCGTTTTGTCTCTGGAACAAACAAATTAAAAACTCTAAAAACAAAAATGAAAATAAACAAGCAAAAAAAAATCACTGACAAGAAACAAGTAAAACAAAAAACACACAAAAGCCATGGAGTTCATCTTGTTCTGCTCCCGAGCATGGCGCCAGCCCTAGAGTGTGAGTCCCGAACATGGCGCCAGCCCTAGAGTGTGGGTCCGAGCATGGGGCCAGCCCTAGAGTGTGGATGATATACCCAGGGACACTCCTTCGGAGGAAATGATCTCCCTGCTCTCAGCAGGTATTGTTAGGGGTGGGACTTCGAGCCCACTTGTGTCTGGTTTGAACTTGTGCAGTCCTTCGGATGATTTCACGGTCTCTGTGAGTTCATGTGTGCGTCAGCCCTGCTGTGTTTGCAAGACTACGTTTCCTTGGAGTCATCCATCACCTCAGGCTCTTACAACCTTCCCGCCTCCTCCTCCCCACAGAAGCCTGAGCCTTGAGGGGAGGGGTTTGAGGAGGACATCCCACTTAGGACTGAGTCCTCCGAAGTCTCTCATTCTTTGTTCAGTTGTGAGTCTCTGTGTTAATTCTCTGGTGAGGGAAGAGCAAGGTACTGACCTGTGGGATCAGTGGAAGTCATGTTGTTTCAATAGGAGTCATTTTATTGCTCTGTTCCTCAGCAGAGTAATAGGCTTTCCTGTAGGTTTCATGACCTATCTGGTCTCAGGCTCTTGGCCACTTTAGCTGTGTCGCATATGGGTTCCATGCCATAGAGGAACCTTAAGTCTAGTTAGAAAGAGGTTTGTTACTCCCATGTTTATGCCAGTATTGCACCAGTATTTCTTGCAGACAGGTCACAGTTGTAAGTTGAAGGATTTATAGCTGGGAGATATTGATGATTGATGAGTCTCCTCTAGGGGTGTTCATAGTGCCTTCCAGCACCGTAAACTAGCCAGTAGAGATGAAGCTTTTAGTTAAGTACCAGCTTGAATCCTAGATGTTTAATAACATATGTCAGTTGTGTCTTCCAGCAATAGGGCCTTACCTTCAGGTTGTGGGAAACAACGAACAGCCTTGATAATACCCTGGAATGTTTGCAAGACTCCATGGGACTCCTTTGGCCAACAACTCAGTAAAATGCAACACATTCTTGACACTGGGGATTTTACCTGGTGGCATAAGGTATCTAGGTGGGCATTGCCCCCCCCCCCGTAGATGGTGACTCCATTTAAATTCCTTTCATATGTGTGTGTGTGTGTGTGCGCGCGTGTGCGTGCGTGAAACTATGTATATAAATTCCTTCCATATATATATATATATATATATATATATATATATATATATATGGAAGCATCTACAGTAGTATGTTTCATGTGATTTTCCAAAGGCCCTAGTTTGTATCAGGTTGACATAAGACTAGCCAGTACAAGTCCTTTGGGTATATGCCCAGGAGTAGTATAGCTGGATCTGGTGTTGATAGCTTTTCGGCTTTTCGAGGAACCTCCACACTGATTTCCACAGTGACTGTACCAGTTTGCACTCTCACCATCAGTGACTGAGCAATCCCCTTTCCCTGCATCCTTGCCAGCATGCGCTGTCATTTGTTTTATTAACCTTGGCCATTCTCACTGAGATCAGATTTTGATGGTTAGGGATAAAAGCATTTCCAAGCCACTTGTGTTTCATCTTTAGAGAACCTTCTGCTTCGGTACCCACTTTTTAATGGGTTGATTCCTTGCTGTTCAGTTTTTTGAGTTCTTTGAATAGTCTAGATATGAACCACCTGTAAGTTGTATAATTGGTAAGGGTTTTCTGCAGTCCACTGCTTAGCTCCGATGATGGTACCCTTTGCTGTTCAGATTTTTAGCCAATTATTAATTGTTGGTCTTCCGACTTTTGACAAAGAAACCAAAAATACACATTGGAAAAAAGACAGCATCTTCAACAAATGGTGCTGGACAGGCTGGATGGTTGCGTATTAAAGAATGCAAATAGATCCATATCTATCACTCTACACAAAACTCACCTTCAAATGGATCAAAGACCTCAACAAAAGGCCTACATACCAGAAGAAAAGGTGGGGAATGGGCTTGAACTCACTGGTGCAGAACAGGATTATCTGAACAGGACACTGATAGCACAGGCATGAAGACCAGAAATTAATAAATGGGACTCAGAAGCTGAAAGGCTTCAGTATGGCAAAGGACACCAACATTCGGGCAAAGCCGCAGCCTGCAGAATGAGAAAAGATCCTTACCAATTACACATCTCTACAGGGTTAGTATCTAACATATATAAAGAAGTTTAAAAAAAAAACAGCACTGGACAAGAAAACAACTAAGTGAAAAATGAGGTACAGAACCATCCACGGATTTCTCTAAAGATGAAACACAATGGCCAAGAAATACTTTAAAAACAACTGTTCTACAGCTGGGCACTGGTGGCGCATGCCTTTAATCCCAGCACTCAAGAGGCAGAGACAGGCAGATCTCTGTGAGTTCGAGTACAGCCTGGTCTATAAGAGCTAGTTCCAGAACAGGCTCCAAAACTACAGAGAAACCGAGTCTCAAACAACAACAACAACAACAACAACAACAACAACTGTTCCACATCCTTAGTCATCAGGCTCCTCAGGAAGCTGGGAATTGATTCACCTCAAGATTCAGAGCATATACACCTTACCACCACAGAGACACTTGCTCATCCATCTTAACTGCTGCTCTGTTCATAATAGCCAGAAATTGGAAATAATCTAGATCTCCATCCACTGGTGACTGGATAAGGAAAATATGGTACGTTTAAACAATGGGATATTATTGATCTATTAAAATATGTAATCATGAAAGTCACAGGTAAATAGATAGGACCTCAGGAAAAAAAATCATCCTGAGTGAGGTAACCCATCCATGAAAAGAGGAATGGCATATGTTTTCTTTTATGTGGAGGGGATAGCTTGTGAGCCTCTGAAATGAGGACTACAGTCTGAATAACCACAGAGGTTAGGTACCTAGCCTAACCCGTGAGAGACGGGGTGGGGAAAGAGAAGGTCTCCCCAGAAGGAGAAGTAGAGGAGATCTTTAGAGAGATAAAGGTGAAGCAAGAGTAGGAGAATCAAATACGGAGAGGGTGGAGGAACATGTGGAGGGACACTAAGAGTAAAGGCCTTGGGAAGGCCAAATGGAAACCTGAGACCACAGAAGCGCCCCAAACATACATGCATAAGAGAAACCTAAATGGAGTCATCAAAAAATAAGAGAGACAAAAAAAAAATTAAAAAATTAAAAAAAAAATAAGAGAGACAATGCCATAGCTAGACATCTTATGCTACCAAATAAAACCTCAAGTGCCAAGAATGGGTTAAATGTTGTTGATCAGCACAAAAGAAACTCAATGTTTTTGTGTGTGAACTTTTGCTTTGTTTTGGCATTTTTAATGTTATTGTTCTCTTGTGTGTTTGATTTGGTTTGTTTGTTTGTTTTTGTGAGTTTGTTTTCTTGGTTTTTGTTTGTTTTTGAAAGAGAAAGAGAAAAAGAATATAAAGATAGGTGGGCAGACAGGTAGGGAGGGTCTGGGAGGAGTTGCATGAGTAAAAACATGATCAAAATACATGAAAAAAAGCCTTAATAAGATAAAAAAATGTTGATTGTAATTCCTATGCAGTCAAGTTCAGATAGTCCTTTCCTATGCCCATGAGTTCAAGCCTGTTCACCACTTTTGCTTCTGTAAGATTCAAGTAATTGGTCTTATGTTAAGGTTCTTGATACATTTCGAGTTTTATTCTGATTTTTTTTTGTTTCCATGTTTAAGGTTATTTTTATGACGAATTATATTGTAATTTTGATGAGGATTGCATTGAATCAGTATGTTGCTTTTGATAGGGTGGCCATTTTCGCTATATTGATACTACCATGAACATGGGAGGTCTTTTCATCTTCTGATATTGTCCTCAATTTATTTTTTCAGTGTCTTAGAACTTTTATTATATAAGCCCTTCACTTGTTTTGTTAGAGTTATCCCAGATATTTTATTTGGGGAGGGGTTCAGTTGTGAAAGGTGTTGTTTCCTGGATTTCTTTCTCAGTGTGTTTGTCATTTGTATATATATTTTATCAGTATATATATATATATATATATATTATATATAGTTACATATATGCTGGCTAGTTTTATACTATACGCAAGCTAGAGTTATGTGAAAGGAAAGGACATGAGAAAAATGCCTCCATAAGATCCAGCTGTAAAGCATTTTCTTAGTGATTGTCAGAAGAGGGCCCAGCCCGTTGTGGGTTTCATCATCCCTAAGCTGGTGGTCCTGGGTTCTGTAAGAAAGGGTCTGAGCAAGCCATAAGGAACAAGGCAGTAAGAAGCACCCCTCCATGGCCTCTGCATCAGTTCCTGTCTCCGGGTTCCTGCCCTTCTTGAGTTCCTACCCTGACTTCCTTTGATGATGAACTATGATGTGGAAGTGTAAACTGAAAAATCCCTTTTCTCTCCAGCTTGCTTTTGATCATGGTTTTCATCACAGCGATAGTAACCCTAAGACAATATAAAATACATATTATATATGTATGTGTTTATAGCTTATAAGTAAATTTAGTGTCCCACTATTTTTCTGAATGTGTTTATCAGCTGTAGGAATATTCAGATGGAATCTTAAGGGTTTTTTTTTTCTTATAGCATCATACCAAATAAGGACACTTTGAGTTCTTCCTTTCTTATTTGTATTTTTTTTCTTGATCTCCTTCTCTTGTCTTTTTGCTCTAACTAAGATTTCAAGTACAGTATTTAACAGGAATGGAGAGAGTGGACGGCTTTTATCTGTTTTTCTGATTTTGTGGAAATTCCTTTTGGTTTTCTCTAGTTAGTTAGATTCTGGCTATGGGATTGTGGTATATTGTTTTTATTATGGTGCAGTATGTCTCTTGAATCCCTAGATTATCCAAAACATTTATCGTGAGGAGATGTAGGGTTTGTCAGAGGCCTTTTCTACATCAAATGAGAAGATCATGTAGTTTTGTCTTTCAGTCTGTTTATGTGGTAGATCACATCTATTGATTTATATATGTTTAAACATCCCTGCGTCTCTGGAATGAAGCTTACTCAATCATTGTGGATAATCTTTTTGATATGTTCTTGAATTTGATTTGCAAATATTTTATTGCAAACTTTTGCATCTATTTTTTTCTTTTTTTGAATTTACTTATTATGTATACAATATTCTGTCTGTGTGTGTGCCTGCATGCCAGAAGAGAGCACTAGACCTCATTACAGATGGTTGTGAGCCACCATGTGGTTGCTGGGAATTGAACTCGGGACCTTTGGAAGAGCAGGCAATGCTTTTAATCTCTGTGCCACCTCTCCAGCCCTGCATCTATTTTTATAAGAAATATTGATCTAAAATTTTTATTTTTTGAAGTAATTGTGTAATTTTGGTATCAGGGTAATAGTGGTTTCATAAAAAGAATGGAAATGTTCCTTGAATTTATTTCTTGCAGAATAATTCTTCTTCAGCGCTCTGATGGAATTCTGTGACAACTTCATCTGACTCTGGGCTTTTTTTGATTGGGAGATTTTTAATTACTGCTTTTTTGTTGGTGGTGGTGGTGTTGGTGTTGTTGTTGAGACAGGGTTTCTCTGTAGCTTTTGGAGCCTCTCCTGGAACTCGCTCTGTAGACCAGATTGGCCTCGAACTCACAAAGATCCACCTGCCTCTGCCTTCCAAGTGCTGGGGTTAAAGCCACACACCACCCCCACCTGGCTAATTACTGCTTTTATGTGTCTATTTATTATGGATCTGTTTAAATTTTTTATGTCATCTTGATGTAACTTTGATAGGTTGTATACCTCAAGAAATTCATCCATTTCTTTTAGGTTTTTAAATTTGGTAGAATACAAAATTTTTAAATATGTCACTATGATTCTGATTTTTTTTAGTTGCTGTTTCAATGTCTTCCTTTTCATTTCTAATTTTATTGATTTAGCTTTTCTTTCTCCATCTTTTGGTTAATTTGAATAAAGGATTGTCAGTCTTGTTGATTTTCTCAAATGACTATGTCTTCATTGTGTTCATTTACTCAGATCTTCTTTATGACACTTGAACATACCCATAATTACCATTTTGTGGTCATTTTCTTCCTCATCTAAATTTCTTTTCTCAGGGCCTATTACAGTTGGGTTTCTGGCTTCTGGAGGTGCCAAATTGTCTTGGATGTTTATGTTTGGTTTTGTGCTTCATCCAGGAATTCGGAATGATGACAGTTGAAGTGTTTCTTGTTGTAGATATCTAATCTCACCTTTTTTTTGGGGGGGGGGACTGCGTGTTCCAGTCTTTGGTTACTATTGCACCAATCTTGGTCCCCATCTAGCGTGACAATTGTTGGGTCCTTGGTAGAGAGTAGTTCTGCAGGTTCTAAAGAAGGAATGAATGGAAGGGTAGCAGGGAAGAGCTAGGGGGATCTGGAGTGTACAGCAGGAGGCTGGGTCCCAAGGGGATGGAGTGGGCTGAGAGATGGGGCCCAGGCTGACAGGTGGCAGGTCTAAGAGCCATCTGGAGAGATGAGAACGGATGGGAGAAGCTGACCAGGCAGCCGACTCCAGTGCCAGACAAGTGTCCTGAGAATCTTTTTAAAGGGATTCATCATTTGGACACAGCTCCTAGGACTCAAGAAACAAAGCAGGCAGATAAATACTCCAGTCTTCAAGCAAGTGTTAATCCATTTGTGGGGGCCATGTAAGGAGGACTTGGGTATCCATAGTAAAGCATTGGAGGTTTTTACTAAATTTATCAGGGTGAGATGCTGACTTACAGGCAGTGTGAAAGTATGTCACCCGGATTAGCTGTGAGCTTCCCTAAAATTAAGCACGTAACTCTCTCCACTTCAGGACTGGCTGCAAAGGTGCAAGATGGGGGTGTTTTCTAGGGTAATCTTGGCATGGAACATGCCTGAATGTTCTCGGCGAGGTAATTATAGGCCTTTGCTCCAGGGAAAACTAGTGTCTCCTCTATCTTTTTAAAATTCCTAGAAAGTTTGGCTTCTTAGAATGGCATTGCCATTTTAAATTTTTTAATTCTTACTTTTTATCATTTTATTACATTTATAATTATTTATTTTTAAGGATGCTTTTTGTGTGTATCTACTTGGGTGTATGCCACATGTGTGCAGGTTTCCTGAGAGGCCAGAGAAGCTGCAGTTAGCCAGGTGTTGGGAGCCGCCCATCCACAACTTTGTGGCTTTATGAAGAAATGCCATTTGTGGTTTTTATGGTTTTGTGAATCATCTAAAATGGACTCATTGATTTTGAGTTTCTAATTTCAGGTGCTTTGGGGGAAAAAGCCCACAATTTTGCTGTGAGAAAGGACATGAGGAGACTAAAGGCCTGGGATTTTACCGATCAGAATGAAACCAATGTTGAAAGACTTTTCAAATCTCTTGCTGGTGATGCTCTGTGACTATGGTGAGTACGGTGAGAATCCACCAAGCCATTGGCATTACCGGGAAACAAATGCACTGATGCTGGTGACCCCACACGGGAGAGGTCGAGTGGGCCAGCCAAACTTTCCTGAAGCCATGGCGTATCACCCTGGCCTCTCAAAAAAAATACTTCGGAGGTTTTGCCTGATTGATTCAAATTTCCATTCCAATGTATTTTTAACTCAAAAAAGAAAGAAAATGAAATAAATCCTCACTACTATTGAATAAATGAAAACAAGCATGTTACACTTAGCTCTCCCTCCCTTTGTTCTCTCTCTCTCTACACACACACACACATACACACACTTAAAAATTTTCAAAAGCATTTTTAAAATTATTTTTATCTCAGTCTTAATTCTTTCATTAATTCCTTGACCTATGATAAGTATGAGAGTCTCCTTGGCCACTAGTGTTTACCTTCCTCAGCTCACATTGTCTCCAGATGCAAGGGAATATTCGCCAACTTCCATTTTCCCTAAAGGGAAAAACAAATAAAGCAAATTTTATCCCGTTATGATTTCTGTTGCTGTCATAAAACACCATGACCAAAAGTAACTTGGGGAGCAATCAGTTTATTTCAGCTTACAACTGAATAACTTACTCTGGTGTTTAGTATTTAGGGAAAATAGATAAGCAATAGTTAGAGAAAGTTTGACTTAAATGCCATAAATTGCTATAGATTATTTAAAATGTAAGATACTTAGCTTCTCTTCAAAGTTATGATTGTTCCATATTCAAGATAAGCAATTAAGAAGTTTTACCAGTAGAACTAGTGTTCTCCATTTGGGTGAGAAGGGGATTTTCAGGTGGACAAGAGATGCTATTTATTTACTCTTCATTGGTCACTCATAATAGCATGAACCTTTCAGAAATAACTAGGCAAGCTACACTCTATCATTGAGAGAAGGCAGGGCAGGAACTCCACACAGGGACCTGGAGGCAGGAGCTGGCGCAGAGGCCATGGAGGAATGCTGCTTACTGGCTTGCTTCTCAAGCCTTGCTCAGTCTGATTTTTAAGTAAGTATGATCAAGTATTCAAATCTATCCAAGTGTTATTTTATCTTCTTTTGCTCTCAGGTAGGAAATGGATGAGGTGCTGACTGATCTATGTGTTGATGTAGTCACGTGCTGATTCTAGTAGTCACTGATTAAATTGAGATAAGGGGAGTTTAAAAATGGTAATTATAGGCAAAAATGTGGTCCCCTTTAGACATGTACAATATGATATGTATATGATGTGTGGATGGGATATATACAGTAAGAATAATACATTTTTAGTTATGTAGCATTTTTCAAACCAAAAAGGGATCCTTGCAGTTCTTTCGTTATAGTATAATGTCTTACCCAGCCATGGACCAGCTGATTGTTGCATTGCCAAATTCTGCCTGCTTTGATATTTATTTGGGCCCAGTTCAGAAAAGAAACAAAGATTCTTATGTCTCTGGATTCTTTGTACCCTTTCAGCTGCTCTGCTGGGTCCCTTTCAAAGATGTGGTTGGTCATAACTGAATGGTGCTTGGGAAATTAGCAGCCATCTGCCCCGTGGGTGCCAGTGCAGTGGCTGTCACGTCATTAAAGTCGCCAAGGATATGCCCAGTTATTTCAGAAATGTTTATACGATTATGGGTGACCAGCAAAAAATAAATAAATGACATCTCTCATCCATCTAAAGCTCCCCTCCTCACTCAAGTGGAGAACACTGGTTCTTTTTTCTGGTAAAAATTCCTAAATGCTTATCTTGAATAGTAAGTTTGAAGAGAAGTGAGTATCTTGCATTTTAAAGAATCTACAGGAATCCGTATTGTGTCATTTAAACCAAACTTTCTCTGAACACCAGAAAATATTAAAGTAAGAAACGTGAGGGGCTGAGTTCAGAGCCTGGGACCTGTCAATTTTTCTTCTACCTTCACAGTTATTCTCTGCAATTAGATGTTGCATGTCGAGGGTTCAGAGTGCTTATCACTGTCCACCATTGTCAACATCAGGGCGATGAAAGAACACATAGCTCTTAGAAAGGAACAAGCCGGGTGCTCAACCTCTTAGTTCCTGTATGTCATTCTGTAATGTCCTTGGCTTGCTTCCTCTTTCTCTTCATTGCGACGCTGGTAGTTCAACTCAAGCGCACCCTTTAAAATCCAGTTCTGACCATTGCCTTCCAGTCCTTGGGGAAGCCGAGTACCTCCTCTTGCGAGAGCCGGTCCACGTGGCCCTGAGCGACAGAACGGTGTCGGTGGATTTCCACTCCCTCGGGGACGCTAATGGGACACTGAGGAACGTGTCTGTCATGCTGTGGGAGGCCAACACCAATCAGACTCTCACCACGAAGTACCTCCTGACCAACCAGTCCCAGGGGACGCTCCAGTTCGAGTGCTTCTTCTTCCAGGAGGCCGGCGACTACTGGTTTGTAATGACTCCGGAAGTGACGGACAATGGCACGCAAGTTCCCGGCTGGGAGAAAAATGTCTTTCTGAAGGTGGAATGGCCCATCTTTCACATTGATTTGAATCGGACAGCCATGGCTGCAGAAGGCACCTTCCAGGTGGGCCTTTTTACCACTCAACCGCTCTGCCTGTTTCCAGGGGACAAGCCGGACATGCTGGTGGACCTGGTTTTCACCGACAGTCTTCCGGAGGCAAGAACAACGGGGCAGCCGCTGGAGATCAGAGCCACCAAAAGGACAGAGCTTGCTCAAGTTCAGTGGGTTGAATTTGGCTGTGCACCCGTAGGGGTGGAAGCCTACGTCACTGTGACGCTGAAGCTTTGGGGTCAAGACTCAGTCATCACGTCTGTAGGACCTATTGACATGGTCCAAAAATTCGGATACACATTGGCGATGGCACCGGAAGTCACGTGTGAGTCTGTGGTGGAGGTGACGGTCCTGCCTCCTCCTTGTGTCTTTGTCCAAGGAGTGCTTGCTGTTTACAAAGAGGCCCCCAGACACCCGGGGGAAAGGACTTCACAGCTGGCTGAAAACAGCCTGTCCCTGGGAGAGAAGACCACAGCATTTAACTGCACTTTGTTTGATGTGGGGAAGAACAAGTACTGCTTTAATTTTGGAATTTCAAGGAAAAGCCATTTTTCTGCAAAGGAGTGCATGCTAATTCAGAGAAATATAGGTTGGTATCAAGATTTTTCAGCATTTTAAAATTAAATTGGTGCCTTTATGTAATCGAAATTAGTACAATCTAGGTGATCTGTAGTATTCATGATTCATTCTCCATACTATACCAATTAGCATTATTATTTTTCCATGAAAAATTAAGATCATATTCATCTTTCAGCTTCTGTGGGAGATGGGTTTTGAGATCCCCAGACACCAGCATTTCATAGGATTCATTTAAAGCCTACACTCCACTTCCTGTAAACCCCAAGCCGTCTCTAGGCTACGACAGTACGATGTAATCTGTGTCTGTGGTTGTTATTCTGCATTGTCTGCAGGACAATGACAAGAAGAGAGACTGCGCATTTCCGTACAGGTGCAGTGTTTTTCTCTGAATACTTTCTACCCATAGCTAGGTGAGTCTGTGGGTGTGGATTCTGGGGAGACAGAACTTGTTGGGGGCCAGGGGACCATACAGCTGTCCTGGCAGTTTCACAGAACCTCTTTAGGTTTCCTCTTTCCCTCAAAACTATTAACCATCAGTATCTCTTCAGCTAGAGATGGAGGTCCGGGTGCTCCTCTCTACTCCATGGTGGTCTTGTTCAGGCAGCCACAGATGCTGTGAGTCCCTGGGGACTGAGGTCAAGTCCTATCCCAAAAACCCAGTTTCACCCCTGTCCTCCCCAACTTCAGGGTCCTACAGTTTTTTTATCCCTTCTCTCAGGATGGCCCTTGACCCTTGGCTGTGATACTGTGGTATAGAATTTTCCATATTCTGTATCCTGATTATGGTTTCCTCTCCCTCCGCTCCTCCCAGTTCCTCCCTATCTTTCTTCACATCCAATCCACACCCTTTCTGTCTCTCATTAGAAAACAAACAGGCATGTAAGGAATAATAATAAATGAAAATGAGATAAGATAAAACAAAAGCAAATTGGAATAGGGAAAAACAAACCAAAAAAAAAGGAGCCAAAGAAAAAGCACAAGAAATACATGTAGACTCAGTTACACACGAGGTGGCACACACAGGAGTCTTGTAAAAAACAAAACCAGAAGCCACGATTCGAAGGCTCTGTAAAGTTAAAGAAACACACAAACAAAATTCCACGACTTAACATTATGAGACAGAGGCGCTCCAAAGATGCCACTGAGTTCATTTTGTGTTGGCCATCTGCTTCTGGGCATGGAGCCCACCCTTAAGAATGTTTCCCCACCATTGAAGAAAACCATTTTTTTTCTATTGCAAGTGGTTATCAATGGGGGTGTGTGCCCACCTCTCTCAGCTTAGTACTCCATGTGGTGCAGATTCATCCGGGCAGTCCAGGGTATGCTGCCTCACTCTCTGAGTTCATATGTGAACCAGTCCCGCTGTGTTTAGAAGGTCTTGTTTCCTTGGTGTCCTCCATCCCCTCTGGCCCTTTACAATTTTTCCACCTCCCTTTCTGTAAGGTTCCCTGAGCCCTGAGGGGAAGAATGTGATGGAGACATCCAAGTTAGCACTAAGTGTTCCAGTATGTTCTCTGCATATTGTCTGGCTGTGGGTCTCTGTGTTTGTTCCCATCCACTGCAAGAGGAACCTTCTATGATGACATCCGAGCAAGGCACCGATCTATGAATGTGGCAGAATGTCATTTGGAGTCATTTTATTATGATAACCCTTTAGCAGAGCAGTGGTGTTTGGTTTCCCCTAGGTCCCTGGCCTATCTAGTCTCAGGTTCTTAGTTACCCACACAGGGTATGGGTTTATCTTGTGGAGTGGGCCTTAAATCAATAAGATTTTGATTGGTTACCCCCACAAGCGTTGTGCCACTATTGCGCCGGCATACCCTGCAGGCGGGTCACGGTTGTAGACCAAAGAGTTTGTAGCTGTTTCCTGTTTACCTTTCTCCTTTGGTGGTGTGCAGAGTACCTTCCAGCCCCATGAACACAGGGACCCCTGCGACTTTTTGACCAGCCAGGCTAGCCTAACCGAGAGGCCATAGGACCTGGTGAGAAATCATGTCTCAAACGAAAAACAATGTTTGCGGCTCCTGAGAAATGATCCCCAGGTCCTCACAAGGATGCTGGGGAGAGGTCCTCATGTTACTATTGTAATGAATTAAGTAAAATGCTGCAGGTTCCCCCCCCACCCCCGAGGGGCGCAGCAGGAAGCGGGACATGATACCACGCCGCAGGTCCTCAAAGTGCAGGCTGCGGGCAGCGGGTCCCGAGAGCAGTCAGTCCCAAGCAGGGATGGCGCAGTTCCCGGAGTGGCTGCAGCGGGCCACGAGCCACGTGGTGGGTGAGAGACCTCAATGGGGCAGCCAGTCCCCTAAGGAGAGACAGACAGATGTGCAAGACAGACAGATGGGCATACCAGGAGACCACGCTGCAGGTCTCCTAAGGCGGCTGGTCCCAGGCAGGGAGCCAAGCCACGGGCCAAGAGACATGGATGGGCACGCGGAGGTTGGAGATTTATTTAGTGGGTTATGGAAGGGAAGGGGAGAGGGGGAGAAAAGCGGGGGGGGGGGGGAGAAGTGGGAAGAATGGAGAAAGGCAGACTTGGGGGGGAGAGATGGAAAAGAAGAAGGAACTCAGGATGGAAGCTGAAGACCAGCTTGCCTTGGTGGACAGGGAGGGAGTGGGCGTGGCTTGTCTCTTAAAGGAACAGAGCTTTACAACTATAGCAGCCCTTTACCCTTAACCCTCCCCAACCTCTTCACTGCCCCTCTTCCGAGTCACTGACTCACTGAATCTTATTAGTCCTTTTATTAAAAAATGGAGTAATGTGTTTATGGCTCTCTCCTCTTCTAAATATGTCTTAGGACCCAAGGATCCAGTACTTTCCGCATGTTGCGAAAAGGGACTCCTTATGGTCTTTGCGTGGTTACGGTGTCCCTGGTACTGTTCTAAGTGCTTTTTGTGGCTCTTCGCCGTTCTAGGCCTTATAACCCTGTAACTTAGCCTCATTATATTGTGGTTTATAGGTGAGGAAGCGAAGACGCAGAAAAGCGAAGTAATTTGCCCAGAATATTTGAGTAAAGAGTCAGAGCGCAAAGCGGAATGGGTTACGAATTGGGGCTATCTCTCAGTGGTAGGTAATGCTTGGTCCCAGGACCCTAAAACAAATGAAACCAAAGGTTAAGCCGACTAGCCTGGCAGGTCACTTTATCAGTTCTCTGTCAATTCCGGTCTAAGGCAATAACAAACTTTCAACCTGGAGCTGGGCAGTAGTGGCCCTGCCTCCTCCCGACATCTTCCTCTACTGCGCTCCACCTCCTTTTTCTGACCGTTTTGAACTAGGGTCTCTTAGTGACCCTGAAGCTCAGTTTCAGGTAGGCTGGCTGACCAGTGAGCTCCTGGGATTTTTCTGCTTCCACCAATGCCTGTGTTAGAACTACAGGCATGGATAGTCTTGCCTGGTGTTTGCAAGGGTCCTGGGGGTTTGGATTCAAGTCCACTTGCTTTCATAGCAAATGTTCTTACCCCGTGAACCATCTCCTAAGCCCCAAACACAACATTTTAAAACGAGGTTTTTTGTTTTGTTTTGTTTTGTTTTGTTTTGTTTTTACATTAAGATTCATGTTTTTCTGTTTTGTTTTGTTTTGAATCAAAACTGATTTTCCTTTTCTGGTTCACTAAGGGAATTGTTGGTTTTATTTCACAAATGTTTTTATGTATTTAAAGAAACTATATTTGTATTTACAGAACGTCAAAATCATTTTTTAAAGAGAATATAACTGGGTCGTGTTTTTAAAATCCAATTTAACTATCTTGGGTTTTTAATTGGTATGCTTAGAGAAACAAGAGGATTATTGTTCGTTTTTGTAATTCTCCATTTCATGGTATGAAACACAAACACAAGGAAAAGATAAATCAATTGTATTTTGATTTAACTTTCTATTGAGATCTTGTAGTAATAGAATTTCCAGTAGAATTTTAGAAAATGAACCGCATTAGGTGAATACAGAGAGACTTTCATAGGAGATTCCCAGAGCTTCACAGGCGCAGGGGGACCCAGTGACTGAGCTGCTCTGGAGCCCTGCAGACAAAGCCGGCTCATTGTTCTTCCCCAGGATGAACTACAGTGTGATCCAGGAGGCACAGAACCAATATTGTGTTCAGTTGGACCTCTGTATGGAATATCATTACCACATCTCGGTTGATGTTGGTCCGTGATACTCATTTAAAATGCTCATACGCTTGTGAAAACCCGCAGAGGCTTAATTACCTTAACAAACTCTTCTTCCATGACTCACTCCAAAGATTGCAGCACTTGGCTCCCCTGAGAACACCTCTGCCCTACGGTTTTCCTTGTGTTTTTGTAGTGCTCCGTGTACCTGTAGCTAGCTGCGTTAGGAGTTTTTACCCACGAGGGATGAAGAGACATTATTATACAGCCAGGATCTGATAGATAGGAGTGTTGGATGGGGACCTAAACAGAGAAGGGGTTTGGATTGATTGTCACTAAGAAATAAGTTATTATGGGTGGCAGTGATTTCATATCTGCTTCGAAGAGGATGATTGAATTTATCAACAGCATTTTTATCTGGAGGGTACAGCTCAGTGGTAGAGCAGTTGTCTAGTACGCCAGAGGCTCTGGGTTCCATCCCAGTACTGGAAGGGTGGGAAGAAAGCTGTTTGGGGGCAGTCTTGTGTGTATTGTGAGGTTCCGTGCATAGGTGGATCGCCTCTAGGACTGTTAAGAGTAACTGACTCATTTGTCCCGTGTTGTTCCTCTGTAGCCAGGTAACGTCCCCAGTTCTGCCCGCGGCTAGTTCTGCCTTTTGTTAATATAGGCATTCCATGTCCTTTCAATATTCACACAGTATATATTCTTCTATCCTTTTACTTTTGACCTACACTTGTTTTATGTGTGTATTATACATACTTATATGTATATATATATATATATAAAGTTCTTAATTTCAAACAGCAAAAACACATATCTGTACACATATAATTTATGTTTAGTTTTATTATTACACATTTGGATTAAAGTCTATTTTTCTGGGGTTATAAATCTTCCATTAGATCTTTGTTTTGTTTTTCTCTTTTCTTGTAGATTAATTACAGATTTTTATGATTTACTTTAACAATCCTATGAGTCTATGATTTATACCTTAAAATATTTTTAGTGATTGTTCTAGAAATTTCTCTCTATTTATGTTTTATATTTTTTAAAATATATCTCTATATTTTATATTCTCTGTCATATAAAATATATAAAATATAACAGACATGTTATATAATATATATAAAGATATATAAGTATATCTTTACCTCTAGTCTACTTTGAGAAAGTTTTTTTCTTAATAATGTTATTTTAATTAAAGTATAATTACATCATTTCCTCTCTTACCTTTTCTCCCTGCAACCCCTTCCATTCCCCTTTACTCCATCTCTAACTCATGGCCTCTTTTTCTTTGATTATTATTGTTAAATGTGCATACATGTCTGCATATATGCACATAAATATATAAATACAACTGTTGAGTCTATTTAGTATTGCTTGTATGTATATGATCAGGGCTGACCTATTGGTGTTGCATAACCTGAGGGTCTTATCTCTGGGAAAGACTAGTTCTTCTCTCGGCAGTTGTTAGTTGCCTGTAGTTCTTTTTCTAGGGCTGGAGCCCTGGAGATTTCCCTTTTTCCTATTAGCATGTCTGTTAGCATTTTCATCGCTCAGGTCTTGTTTAGGAAGCCATGCTGCTGTGATATCATGGTTGCGGCTTCCCTGTCTTTTCTAAAAGATACAGTCTCACAGATCTCCTGGTCCTCTGACTTTTAAAATCTCTCTGCCCATCTTCCATGTGTTCCCGAACTATATTTGCAGGAGTTGTATGGTAGACATAACTACTGGGGCTGGGAACCCCATAGTCAGGTGTTCTCTGCACTATGACCAGTTGTGGTTTTCTATGATAGTCTCTAACTGCTACAAAAACAAGCTTTTTGATGAGGGTTGAGACCTACACTTCTCTGTGGCTGTAAAGACAAGTATCTAGAATGCAGTTAGGAGTTATTCTGGTCTAGCAAAGTGGCAGCAGTAGGTTTTCTCGAAGATCCATGTAGCCCAGGTTAGTCGGATAGGTCTCCAAGTACTAGGTCTGATTTCCATTCTGATGAAGAGGCCTTAGGTCTAATTAGACAGCGGTTGGTTGCTGCCGAGATAGAGAGCCACTCTTAGGAACACCTTGCCATGCTGGTCATTGTTGTGGTTTGTAGGTGTCACAGCTGGGCAGGACTGATCTTCTCCCTCTCTGCAAGCTGGCATAGCACTTTTTGGTATTTCTGAAACCAAGTCCTCAGGCAGGCAGAAACTCAGATACAGATAGAGTTTTCCAGGTTCTGTGTCTGAAGTTCATGATGTCTTCAGCAATAGGGACTTGCCTTCTACCTCTAGGAGACAGTCAAGGGCAACAGCCACAGCCTATATTGTTTTCGGACTTCCCTGATCAACAATTCTTATCCTTGGTGCTGGGTTTTTGTTGGATGGTTTATGGCTTTTGTGGGGAGCATTGGCATTTATGATGGCAGAGCCTTTAGGACCTAAATATTTTCCATTAGCTCGAACCTCCCAACACTGCTGCACAGGGTGGGGTTGGGGTGTGTCAGACTCCTACCACGTGCTTTTTTGGAGTACACATTCTACTCAGAGATGTATTTATGTTTCCATTTGAGTTATTTCTAGCTACCCATATTCATATATTTTCTTAAAGTGTGTGGAATATGCTGGGAGTTGGACAGAGGCTTTCGTTATCTTCGCCCCTGTACTTTTGTGATTCTAGCATTTTAGTTATTCTCCTTAGCTGACAGCAGTGGTGTGTCTTTTCATGTGTGTTGTATCTTGTTTGACTTTTCCATTGATTTCTAATTTAACACACTAGTCATGGGCATTTTGAATTTTATTTCCAATATACCTACTATCTAAGTCATTTCGGGGTCTGGTTTTATTGATTACTATTATTTCTTGCTTTTTTATGCATCTCAGAATTGCTTGAAATTATAGACACGGAGGCAAATGTAATTTATTTCCAGAAATAGGTATACTTCTTCTTGCAATAGGCTATTTTTATGGGTTTTGGGTCAATGTGGTAAAGAATTGGGCCGTGTTTGGGTTGTTCCTGTTGCTCTGGCAACCCTTACTGTATCTAAGATTTCAATATGTGTCAGTGTTACTTTCTCTTTAGGGGAAACATTGTGCTGCCAAAGGGATTTTCTTCACGTTTCTCTACGTCCTTCACTTTCTATCTTGGCACCTGTGTGGAAATCAGGTCATTCTGTAGGATTTGTATGTAGATTCTAGGGATTGAACTCAGATCTCCAGGCTTGGCAGCGAGCACCATTATCTTATGAACCATCTTCCCAGCCTTCACCTTAGCTTCCACCTCTCACTCTTGCCTTCCATGGGCACCAAACTGTTGGTATTTGGGACTTGGTATGCAATTTACTAACCTGGAGGTGTGACTAATTGCTAATATTAAACTACTTGGTACTTAGTTTACTAACTGTCTTGTGGTGGCTCCGTTTCATCTGAAGCAAGTCCTAAGTGTCTGAATCCCCGAGATGAGAGGCAGGCTCCAGGATCTCATGTAGTCGTGGAAGACCATCGAATAGTGGGGGCCCAAGACATTTTCAGCTCTTCCCCAAGTCTATCACAACAGCTAGCCTCAGTGAATCCTCTCACAATGACTGGTTTGCTATGCACAGTGATTGGATTGAGGCTGTTCCATAGGGGAGATGGAAGGAAGGATCCATATGGTTTGATGTCTTTCTTACTGTGACCTTGTCCCTCCAGACACACACTGTGTCTAGTCCTGCACTTGACCTCAGCCCTTCTGCTGGGAAGAGGTGCAAGTGGGCACAAGTTCCCCTTCTTATCTTGTCCCCAGGGGCTCTGTGTTCTCATCCTACCCCCTCAGTGATTCCTGCGTCTTAGATGTGTTTGTCTGATGAGCTGGTGTGGGTGGGTCCTGGACTCTGTCCCAGGCAAACAAGTATTGCAGCCCCTCTTTCTCAGAGGGGCTGACTCTCCTCTCGCTGTGGGCTGGTCTGTTGCCTTGTGACCTCAGCCCTGGGGGGGGGGGGATGTGTAGGAATCCTAAGACCGGCTAAGGTTATATACATGATACGGCTCTTCTTTGTTTTGAGACGAAGACTAACCCTCCCGATCTTTTACATCTGTGAGAATGTTTTCACTTCTAGCCTTTTTAAGACCAGAGCTTTGAGTTTTGCCGCTTCGTTCGGGTGCAGTTAAACACTGATTCTTAAATGCTTGGCACTAAAAGCATGACTTATATCCTTGCAGAGTCTTGGGGACCATGGCAGCCGTGGAGTCAGTGTAGCAACACGTGCGGGGAGGCTGTCCGAGAACGGCGCCGCGCGTGTCTCGCTTCTTTTCCCTCCAGACCCAGCTGTTCTGGAGTATCCTCAGAGACCTCTTCATGCTCCCTGGAGGAGTGTGCTGGTACGTGTTCCTGCTTCCTTTCGGGTCACTGCTCAGAGCCCCTGCCAGCTAGGCCTGTCTGGGAACTACCAGTCTGTGCTCAGTGGATGCTTACTTCTCTGACTGCCACTGTTCTGACTTTGCGCTTATCGGTGTCTAAGACTTGGAGTAGTTGCCATAGTAATTTGCTAGTGAGCTGATAGGATTTAACACTGGGAGTGAGGGAAGTGACGCGGGAGTATGTCTAAAAAATCAGCTGTGTGAAGGGGTTTTATTTAAAAATACAGAAATAGTTGGAAAATGATGTGGGAATCTGTTCTTTCCTACCTGTGTGGATGCCAAAGATGAAACTCAGGCTTCAAGCTTGGCAGGGGTGCTGTACTAACTGAGCCATCTTGCTGGCACTAGATTTGTTTTTGGTAGGATCTCACTCTGTAGTTCAGAATGACCTTGAATTTTTATCCCATCTCAGCAGCTGCAGTGCTGGGACAGAGGCTTAACAACCAGTTGTTACCCCCCCCCCCCCGCCACCTTCTCGCCTACCTAAAAACGAAACATAACAAAAAATCCTATAGAAAAACATCTTTACTTAATTTTCCACCTGTCATCTCAGAGGTTGTCCAAAGGGGGCGTGGAGACCCTCAGTTGTCAAAATGAAGCAGGGCGCCCTGTTTCTTTCCTTCTCTGTGGTCTAAGTTTATCTGTTACCAGTTCTGTCTGGGAGGAGGAGGCAGGGATATTTCTTCTCGCCATCCCCAGTGACAGGACTTGTCTGTATTTTATGAGCATCATGGAGGTCCACCCTGATAGGTACTCCAGGATATTTGTTGTGAGTGGTTCATGGAGACGGTCGCTTGCCTGAGCCAGGTTTGCTTCCTCTGTGGGATGGAACAGCACTTACATTTATGGCGATGAAGGGGCCATGGTCTTCTTACTTCAGTCACTGCCTGAGAAGCAGCTTGGTTAACTGGCCAGCTTTGGCTGAGGTCCTGACTTTTAGATAAAGTTCCTCTGTCAAGTGCCCACCTACTTATACTCTCCGTTTCCAGATTCAAAGGCATCCTTAGCTCTGCCTCATGGGATTGAGATGTGTTCGATGCTTCCCTTTATTTGGACCTTAGAGAACATTTTAGCCAAGACTATCAGCACCCAGCAGCATCTCCCAGTGTCCCCATCCATCTGTAGCCTTAAAAGGTTCTTTTGCTCCTTTGTCTTTCCAGCCAGTACCATAGGCCTTGTGGCCTTTGTTTTAGCATCTAAAGAATGTTCTTCTCCATTTTGTCTTCTTATTGCAACCATAGTCTAGACCTTTCTTCCCGCCCTCAGTCACATCATCTTCTTTAATAAGTCCTGAACGCTATAAAAGAAATTGCGTCTGTTCTGAAAATGAAAAACATTGTTCTTTTTTAACATGGCAAATTTTGCATGTGTACATGCACATGAACTTTTGAGTGCATGCATGTGCCATGATGCTTGTATAGACGTCATAAGATAACTTGCAGGCATTTGCTCTTTCTACCCTGTGCATTCTGGGAGTCAGACTCGACTGTCGAGGTCTGCAGCAAGTGCCCTTATCTGCTGAGCCATCTCGCCAGGCCCAACCATTTTTCTTATCATCATTCTGTATGTTTATAGTGTGACAACTAGTTATACAACTGTTATCCTATCCTGGGCAATGCAGGTGACCTAAAAATGTCTTCAAAAGCAGGAGGATGTATATGAATTCTATGCAACTATGACACCATTTTATAGACACCTGCAGAAGCTGATATCCCCAAGCATCCAGGAGGCAATCCTAAAATACTAAGTGATGACTATATACTCTCTCCTGCACATTCTGGAGGAAGGCTCTGGGCACATGGAGGGGCCCTGCCCAGGGTCACACAATGAGGGATCGAGGGAAATAGGAATCATAGTAAGCTGCCTATCTTAAATACTTTGCCTGTATATTCAAGTCACTGTAGCTTTCTGGAAGAGACATCAGCAAGTGAAATTGGCCATTGTTTTCTGAGGAAATATGGTTGTATTTTACATTCTGGCATCTAGCTTCTGTGATATTGGGTGGGGTCTGGAAAAGCACACATTCTTAACAAGACAGCTAAGTGATGAAGTTACCCCTTCCTGTACACTGACGCCTGGGATAAAACGATCTTTCCACGTATTTGCTTCCTCCTATTTTGTACATTGTTACTCCTTGGAGATGTGAAGATCTACCTTAACATCAGGGCATCTGCTTCACTTCAGGAGATCCGGGAAGCGTTAGATGAGGCAGGGTGGGCCAGACCAGCAGCTGAGAAAAACTCTTTTCCAGCTGTGTGGTTTTTGTTTGTTTGTTTTTGGAGCTGCCAGCCAGAGTCAGAAAGTAATGTAGCGAAGAAGCACTTTGTGGTGGGTGATAGGAATGCTGCCACACACCTTCATCAGCCGTCATGGCCAGTGACAGAGGTGACACACCAGGGAACGAGTCTCTCACTGAATCAGGGATCCAGAGTTTTGTCTGGCTATAGAAGAAAATGCTTTTGTGCCGCTGAGTGCAGCCATGTAACACTTCAATGAACGAGCAGGCAGAGTCCATTGTTGTGGTAGGCTCATCCCGTCTGGTGTGATAGTGATTGTTTTGCTATTATTCTTCTTAGTAAGGACGGAATTGGTTAATTAAACTGATGTTTATTGGATACCAACTGTGTGCGGATTATAGTGACCTGGGACTGAGATTGGGACTATATTGAATTTACTTACAAGGTACATCCTTGTCTTGAAATATGATATAACAGCCTAGAAGGTTCAGGGAGAAACATAATAGAATACAAAGTCTGAAATGATAAAAGTGCCCACAGATTTCTCTGGAAACATGTGGGGTGAAAATCCATGCTGGGGACAAGTCAGTTCCTGAAGCAGGTGATGCTGGAGCTGGAGCTTGAGAATGGAGACCGCACCACCCAGAGGAGCTTGAAGGGCAGGGAGCTTGATTAAAGGAGCACATGATGCCTGAAGGTGTAGCAGCGAGGAGCTCAGAGACCTGAGACCCGTGAGGCGTTCGCTGGGGCTAGAGGCTGGTGCACTAGGAGGAGAGGGGACAGATAAAGCGCCCCGACGGCCTCAAAGGTGTGAACCTGTGCTGTCAATGCATCATTGATGGTAACGTGGATACAGATGAAAAGGGAAGGTGTACTAATGAGTACCTGTTAAGGATTTTTCAACCTAAGTTGAAAGAGTCCCAAAGCGGCAGAGCGTCCTGCAGGAGGAAGAAGTACATTTGACTCTGAGGGGTCATTCAGGATTATAGGGAGACGTGTTCTATTTCAGGAAGCACAGTTGATGATAGACAGAGCGGTAAACGCGGACTCCTCTTCTGCCATGCAAGTCAGGGAAGATAAGGAATTTGATTGGCTGTGGCATAGTGGGGAAGGGTCTCTTAAAGGTAGAAAGAGTGTGTGCATGTTTCTATGCTGCTGAAGAGGACCCTGGGGATGCTTGGTCAGATGGATGATCCCTCGGGGAAGGATGACTCAGAGAGCATGGGTGGATGGAGTCACATTTCCCCTTGTCCCGCTGTTGGGGTGCGAGAGAGACTAACAGAGGTGCAGCTACTGCATTGTTTATGGGGATGTGGATAACGGTAAACAAGCTCTGTGGGAGTCGCCGTGGACAGTGTCGGGGTGCAGAGGCACAGGCCTGTACAGTCAAGTTTCCTTCTGCCTTTACTCAGACACTGGGCACAGCAGCTGAGAATTCACATGCCTACCAGGTTGGTTTAGGATGGACCCCTGCTTCAGACTAGGGTGGGGAAGGGTTCGTTTCATCCTACAGATCACAGTCTACCATTGAGAAAAGCCAGGGCAGCAATCTGAAAGCAGGAACCGAAGCAGAGAACATGGAGGAATGCTACTCACTGGCTCGCTTCCAGGCTCACGTTTGGTTGCCTTTCCTATCCAGACCTGCCCAAGGATGATGTTGCCCACAGTGTACTGGACCCTCCTATATGGATTATATGATGCCCAAGAAAATGTCCCACTGACATATCCACAGGATAATTCTCTTCCTGAGTATGTCAAGTTGACGGTCAGATCTTGCAGAGGCCTGAAGTTCAGTTTTCTCTAACTCCAGCTCCAGGGCACCTGAACTCTCTTCTGGCCCATGAGGGCACTCTTTCTCTCTCTCTCTCTCTCTCTCTCTCTCTCTCTCTCTCTCTCTCTCCCTCTCTCTCGTGTGTATCTCTCTGTGTGTGAACGTGCATGCATGTCCACCTACGTGTGTGTGTGTGCATTCACACACTCAAATAAATATTAAAAAACAATACCAAGGCATATATGCAACAGCTTCCAGCTGAGAGGGTTGAGGTAAATTGCTCTGTGGGAGGGACAGGCTTTGGGTGAGATGAGGAGGCCAAGTAGGCCTCCCTCTGAAGGGAGACGGAGGAGTTTGAGGGGTTTGTAATCAGGTGTGCTCTAGAGAACAGTAGGAAAGCACAGGGAAACACCGGGAGCAAGTGGTGAGGCCGAGTGATACCGCAGGGTAAAGGGGGCAGGTGCCCGGAAGGACTTAGACAGTGGGCGGTGACTAAGGCAGGGGCGGGAGTGGGGCACAGTGAGCTTAGGTGGCAATGGTGGGCGGCTGGGTTCCAGGCGTCCGACTGCAGTACAGTTGGAGAGTCCAGGGGGTTCTGCATCTTCACAAAACATCTCGACTGTGGGACACACATTGGTGAGACCTCAGATATGAAGACAGGTCAGGGAAGGGCAGTGACGGCTGAGAGCAGGATTGTGGACAGCTTCTTCCCCCCCAGGGGGCGGGGTCTGGATTAAAATGGCTACTAGTTGGATTTTCCCCAGTGAGTTTTGCTAATTGTAAACGTTTAGGCACAATTATCTAAATTATTTATATTTGTTTTTGAGTTTTATACATAGACTTTCCCCACATGCCTTTATTGGATACATTTAACTACCTATAGGTGCCCGTGTTCCCATCTTCATAAGTGTGTTGAGAGAGTCTTGGCAGGAGATGCTGAGCACGGAAGTCTTCTGGTTGTGGCTTCCCGGGCCACCTGCCTTCTATGGTTCCCCGTTTTTGCAGGGTTCTCTCTTTACTGGCCACCTTCAGCTCTCATCAGAAACCCAAATCTTTGGTTTTTTCCTTTCCTCTTTAATTGCTCTGATAACTGGGGTAACCACTGTGGGCCCCAAATCACGCAGGGAAATCAACATAAGATAATGCATTTGTTTTAACTTGGTATTTATTTATTTTTTTTCTTTTTCAAGTATTCCGGCCGCCGGGCCCATCGCCTGTTCCGCCCCCGGTGAAGTCCAACAACGTCGTGACGGTCACAGGGATATCCCTGTGCTTGTTCATCATCATCGCCACCGTGCTCATCACTCTCTGGAGGAGGTTCGGCAGAGCCCCCAAATGCAGCACCCCTGCCCGACACAACTCCATCCATACCCCTGGCTTCCGGAAGAACTCGGATGAGGAGAACATCTGCGAGCTGAGCGAGCCTCGGGGAAGCTTCTCAGATGCGGGTGACGGACCCAGGGGAAGCCCAGGGGACACAGGCATCCCTTTGACTTACAGGTGCAGTGCACCAGCGGCTCCTGACGACGAGGCCTCCGGCAGTGAGAGCTTCCAGTCCAACGCCCAGAAGATCATCCCGCCCCTGTTCAGCTACCGCCTGGCCCAGCAGCAGTTGAAGGAGATGAAGAAGAAAGGGCTGACGGAGACCACCAAAGTGTACCACGTGTCTCAGAGTCCCCTGACAGACACCGTCGTGGATGCCACTGCCAGCCCTCCCTTAGACCTGGAATGCCCCGAAGAAGCAGCAGCAGCGAGCAAGTTCCGAATCAAGTCTCCATTTCTGGACCAGCCTGTGGCAGGCACCGGGGAAAGGCCCCCCTCCAGGCTGGATGGCGTCGTGTCTCCACCCAGCTGTGCGGTCAGTCCCAGCCAGACCCTGATCCGCAAGTCGCAGATGAGGTCAACCATGGGGAGAGAGGGCTCATCTGAGAGATGCCACTCCAGAAGCTCCCTCTTCAGGAGGACCGCTAGTTTCCACGAAACCAAGCAGTCCCGCCCGTTCCGGGAGAGGAGTTTGTCTGCGCTGACTCCCCGCCAGGTCCCTGCCTACAGTTCCAGGATGCGGACCTGGGACCTGATAGAGGATAGGTCCAGGCCTCCTAGTCGAAGTGCCCACCTGCTTCCAGAGAGATCGGAGCACTTCCAAGGGGCAGGTCGGGCCAGCAGTCCCTTGGGCCCTCTCTCCAAATCCTACACTGTGGGGCATTCCAGGAGGAAACCGGACTCGGGGGATCGCCAGGCAGGGTTGGTGGTGGCGGGAGCTGAGAAAATGGAGCCTCACCGAGCTCACAGGGGACCTTCCCCCAGTCACAGGAGTGTTTCACGGAAGCAGCCTTCACCCATTTTCCCCAAAGATAGCTACCAGAAAGTCAGTCAGCTCAGCCCTTCTCACTGCAGAAAAGATAAATGCCAGAGCTTTCCCGTCCACCCAGAGTTCGCCTTCTACGACAACACCTCTTTCCGCCTCACTGAGGCTGAGCAGAGAATGCTGGACCTCCCGGGATACTTCGGCTCCAACGAAGAGGATGAAACCACACTTAGCGTGGAGAAGTTGGTCATCTAAGAAGCTGCAGGACCCACCCAGGGCCCTTTACCCAGCTGGCAGTATCCACTGCTCACATACTTTCTGTTAACTATATTGTATAACTGTGGGAATTGGTTCAAACCCCAGAGGAGTGTGTGTGTGTGTGTGTGTGTGTGTGTGTGTGTGTGCATGTGCTCATTGAGAAGAAGTTATTTATCCTGAATGTTTATCCTGAGCGTTTCTTTTTGTTATCCCTTTTCTGTCGGCTTATTACTACTAATAAAATTTAAATGAGGCAAATGTATGATGCATTTTGAACGCTACACTGGATATTTCCAACTTTGGAATCTGGAAGCTTCCCCCAAAGGGGAGGAGCCATCAGCTGCTTGCCTCCGTGTGCAGAACTATTATAGGCGCAACCTTGTAACTTGCTTTGTTGTGCATTAAGGACTAAACAAAGAGCCTAAAAATGGGGCTACTTCTTTTGAAGGTTGTCACCAAGGTACCAAGTGGGACAAATTCTTGCAGCCCAGTGGCCATTAGACTAGTCAACATCCGCTTAAATAGCTACTTTTTCTTCTTTTTCATGGTGACCTCCGTGGTGCCACACCCATCCTGCCTTAGATTGTTTTCCTTCTTTCCGTGTATCAGGATGTCGGCCTCCTGGTGAGGGTTCAGACAAGGGGAAGTCGCAGATGTAAACACAGTAGTTTCAAACGTTAATATTTGTTGAGCTGCCGCTTGTGCCGTTTTTATTGAACGTTAAAATGTGCTTCCTTTGGCGCGGCTTTAGTGATGACTGTCTGCTCTGCAGGAACAGGAGGGGTGGATTGTCCAGGCTGTCTGACAACCCCTGTGCACGGATGAAAGAAGAGGCAGGCCCGGTACTCTCCAGTGTCTTTATTTATCGCGCCAGAGCTTTGTTCCTGATCCAAGCTCGCGGGTCTGTGTGCCAACCTTTGACACACAGGGCACATGCTCACTCGCTTGTCCCCGATCTCCCAGGGGATTGTCCAGCGGTATCAGACCGAGACCAAAACAGTTTTGGAGAAATGGAGACTCAAGAGGAGCACTATGGGCTGAAAGGCTTTCTGATCAGCGATGTTCACCGTCGGCCTAGTCCAGTTTTCTGGGGCTCTCCCCAACAGTGAACCTTGGCCTCCGAGAGAAAAGATGTTTCATGCCGTCTTTAGCGCCTAAGTTGTAGATTTCAGTAGAAAGGTTTTCTGTTTCTAACCACAGTGTCTCCATGTGCTAGCCCCAGTGGCTGCTGTAGAGTTGGGGCTCGAGAAAGGTAAATGGCCAGTTAGGGAAATGCCTTAAAAAATCATTTGTAGTTGAATTAGAATGATTCTTTGTAATATGTCACACTGTAAATCATAGAAAGGAAATATGTTCGGGAGAGATTATGAGATTTCCGTTTATAGAGGACTCCACAAATGGAAGTATTTTTTATTTTTATTTTTTTGGTGTTATTGACTTGTGTGTTTCCAAACATCCTCTGAACTCTTAGTGAGGCTTAGACAACATTTTGCTAGTTCTGTGTCTTAAGACTCTCTCATTATATGTGACCCCCAGCAATCTTGAGAAGCTTTACACATTTATATATTATTGTCTGTGTTCCAAGCAGTCATAACTGTCTGAGATGTGTCTGCTCACTTACCTGAAAATAAATGTTCTTTTTAAATATAGATTTTTATTCTAAAATTTAAAATTTTTAATTTTAGAATTTTACACAAATATTATATTTATATTATTTCCACCCCCCTTCTCCCCTCTCTAACTACTCCCTCTCAAAGTCATAACTCGTGTGTGTGTGTGTGTGTGACTAGTCACTTGGGATTGAACTGAGCCCTGTCAGGGGACTTGTTCCTAGAGAAAAATTCTCCATCTCTCAGTAGCCATTGACTGTCCACGACTCTTCAACTAGGGCCGGGACCTTGTGACATTCCCCTGTTGTGTTGGCATGTTGGTAGCATTGCCAGTACACAGGTCTTCTTAGCCAGCCATGTTGTTCTAGTTTTTATCTCTTATCTCAGGACACTTCCAGGCAAGCTTCAAGCTTCAACTGTCATCCGCAAGATGGATGGCTCTCAAACACATGATTTCCAACTCGTTGACAGTTGTGCTTCTGGAGATCTTTGAAGTGGTCCTCCTCCAGTTGTGGTACCCAGCTGTCTTTTTGTCCTCCCTCAACAGTTCAGTATCCGGTCAAAACACCAACACACAGCTGGCACCGGAGTTAGAAGCTTAAGGGTCGCTTTGAACTTGGTTTCACCCTATCTCTTAAGCTCGTAATCCCAGACTTGCTGGCATCATCTCTGTGTTCTCTGTTCCTGCTGCACGCTGTATCATTTCTTTTTCTTTATTAAACGTTATCTGAGCATTTCGTACAATGTGTTTTGATCCTGGTCACCCTCCTGATTCCAACTCTTCCCAGATCCATTCTCCTTCCCTTCCCACCCAATTTTGTGTCTTTTCCCCCACCAAAGGCAATTGCCCAAATATTCTTTCATGTGTGGGCAATCGACCGGAGTATGAAGGATTTATCATGGCTACACATTTAGAGAAAACTGACCGTTCCTTTCTGGGAAGCTAGTGATCGCTAATCATAGCCCCTCAGCCAGGGGTGGAACTTCACACTCAACTCTCTTCTCCATGCTGGAATTTGGGCTGCTTGGGCTGGCGAGATTTTGTGCATACTGTCATAACTACTTTAGCTCATATGTATAGCTACCATGCTGTGTCCGGAAGACACTGCTTCCTCATAGATTTCCACTACCTGAGTCTTACAGGCCTTTCACCCCTCTCTTGAAGATCCCTGAGACTTGGAAGGGGTGCTGTGAGGTAATTTACTCACTTTTGTGCTGAACCTCCTGCAGTCTCTTCTCTGCATGGTGGTAAGTTGCGGGTCTCTGTGCTGATCCTGGCTACTGCAAACAAAAGCTTCTCTGATGAGAGTCGAGAGGGACCTTAATCTGTGGGTCCAATAGTGGGGCATCAGGAATTGGCCTAATACTGTGTCCACTTAGCAGATTAATAGTAGTTGGATATTCTCTAGTGCCTAGGGCCTGCCTCCATAGGTTTTTGGCCAAGTATGATCCTTTCTTAATAGATTTCTAAAATGTCCTTTTTCCACCTTACTCTCATCTAATTCACACCATTCATGGCAGTCAGAATATTCTTTGTAAAATGCAAATCTGATCACTGCACTCACCCTAAGGAGTCCCCTTTCTTGGACTCCCAATGACAGAGCTCATGTTAACTTCTCAGCCCAGGTCGTCCAGGACCAGGCATAGCCACTTGGCTCAAAAACTCTGCACACTTCGTGCACTGTTAATGCACTTCTTCATTCTGTAGACTTTGTACATGATGCTCTCAATGTACAGAACCCTTCTCTGCACTGTCCCCCTGGTGATCGTTCAAGTCTTCCCTCATACTGTCCAACAGAGACAATTGCTTTGCCCATGTCTGCCTTTCTGAGACACTTTGAGCCCAAGGAGGGAATAAAGTACAATCTTATTATTTTTTAATTCCTATGTACTTAGACTAAGCACGTAGAATAGAATTTTCATTCAATTTTATTTAATTGTACATCGTTACCTTACGTTTAACATGAGGTTCAGTTTTGTTTTCAACTGGTGAGCAAATCCAAAGCCCTTTGCAAGCGCTCTACCACTGAGCAGGTCCCACAGACACAGTTCAGTGGTAGAAGGTTTCCTTAGTGGCTTGAGGTCCTGGGTTCTTTTCATACAACCACTACCACCAAAATAAGACAAAGCAAAGCCCACGGGCAAGAGCGAGAATATTGAAAGAAGACTAGCTGTGATTCTAGGTAGAAGTAACAAGGAAAAATGTTTTACTTCTGGCAAATGTTAGGACTAGTCTATCCAGAGGCTCCAGAGAGAAAACTGAAGAGCTGGAGATTGGGCTCCATGGTATAACATTTGCCTAGCATGTCCAAGAACCTGGATCCCATCCTTAACATCACAACCGGAAGGGAAACAGATGCCTGGGGTTGCTGCATTTAAATCCGTTTGGTAAAATAGGGGATGAAGGGCTGGAGAGATGGCTCAGCAATTAAGTGTTCTTGCTGCACCTGCATAACACTGGAGTTCTGTCCCCAGTACCCACATGGCTAGCTCACAGCCTTCGGTAACTCCAGTACCCACATGGCTAGCTCACAGCCTTCGGTAACTCCAGTTTCAGGTTACCAGATACCCTCTTCTTACCCTGAAAGCACCAAGAAGGCACCCCAAGCAGGCAAACACTCATTCATATAAAATAAATAATTCAAAAGATTTCGAATAGATGAAAAATGGGAAATCATGCCTTAGCTGCCTTCATGATTCTTCGCTATGTTCAGAGCAGGCGCTCGCTCTATAAATACCTGTTGAATGAGCATGGAATGACTCCAGCTGACGCCAGCAAACACAGCTTTAATGAGTTCCTGGGAGGAGGTAATCTTAACGTTGCTACCATGGCCAGCTGCCAGGAATGTGTGGTGCCAGGAGAGTTGCTGGATGGTAGAGTGGTGGAAATGTCAATCTTGAATAAACGTCTAAGAATTTAGTAAGAAAGGCTTAGCAAAGACTTCCATAAAACAGCAAATGAAAAAAGAGTGGCTACCATTTAAGGTTAGCTTCACTTAGCACGCCCAGTTAGGAAAAAACAAAAGCTGACTTACAGCCTGAGAACGTTCTCCAGCCTACACGTTTATTCTGAACAACAACAACAAAATTGTTGATTGGAATCCTCTTTAGGATGAGGCTATGCAAGCCAACTTTCCAGAGTTCCTGTAAGACTCCATTATCTTTCTTCGCTCATTAACACAACTTTCCATCCTCCCGAAGCTTAGAGGAAGCAAAGGCTGGAAGGAGAGATTTTTGGATGCCACAGTAGCCTAGAGGTAGGATTTAGTCTTGAAAGCTGACTTCAATGAGATTATTGAAGTGATGGGTATAGTGTGTGTGTGTGTGTGTGTGTGTGTGTGTGTGAGAGAGAGAGAGAGAGAGAGAGAGAGAGAGAGAGAGAGAGAGAGATTCTCCTCAATCACTGGGGTTATAGGTCCATACATCTGATTCTGTTTTTTTTTTAATTGATTTTTATTGAGCTCTACATTTTTCTCTGCTCCTTTCCCTGTCTCTCCCCTTCCCTTCAACCCTTCTGATTCTGGTTTTTATGTGGGTTCTTAGGAATGAACTCAGAACTTCATGATTGTTCAGCAAGTTCTTTACTGGCTGAGTTATTTTCCATGCCCAGGATGTTTCTTTACTAACTCATCTTAATTAAGAATGGTATCCGTGTGTGTGTGTCCGTGTGTGTGTCTATGTGTCTGTGTGTCTGTGTTTTAAGATGCGGAACCAAGAGTGATTTTGGATTTCTGATTCTTCTGCCTCTGTCCTGAATGCTGGGATTTCAGGCATGTGCCACTCTACTGTAAATGTGGCGCTCGACATGGAACCCAGGGCTTTGCCCATCCTAGTAAAGCACACTGCCAGCTGAGCTACACCACCAGCCCGTATCGTAATGCTTTTGTTTATTGCTACAGCCCGTGAAAGATGAGAAAAGAGCTTATTATGAACTGTTTTCCAGAAATGCAGCTAGGCATTTTTCTCCCAACAACTAGGAAGCATTTATAGTGTGGACTTTATGGACTAGTTTCAAGGCATAGGTGTGTCACCTCAGGGAATTTGCACAACTGTGGGAAATGCAGATTAAAGAATTCTCAAGAATGCCCAGCAATCACTGTGCAAGAGTGAGCTCATGGCTTCTCCCATCTCTCTGACATTGGTTCATGATGCAACAGATGACTTCCTTGTAAAGCTGGCTCTGAAACGAGGGTAATAATTTCATAATCTTAAGCAATCCTGATCTGCTATAAGATTGTACTAAGTTAAAATAATTAGCCTTCACTGACTGACTGGCAACTCTGTGTTGACGCTATCACAAATTCTTATATGTATCCAATTAATTTAATTCTCATATCAAATCTGAGTTATAGTGCTCGTTTTGCAGCTGAAGAAAGTAAAACTCCTTGTTTGTTCAGTGCTGCAGCTAGTCAGGGAAAGTCAGGAACTGAGCCCGGTTAGTCTGGCTCCAAAAGTCACAAATTATACATAAAACGTCTTGTAGCTATTTTCCTTTAGTTCACCGAGGAAACAGTAAATTAATCACTAGCAGGCATCCGAAACATATTGAAATATTCCTGGTTTAAAAAGTCAATGATTACCAGGGAGCCTGCATAGGACTGACCTAGGCACTCTGCATATATGTGATAGTTGTATAGCTTGGTCTTTTTGTGGGACTCCTAACAGTAGGATCAGGGACTGTCTGTGACTCTTTTACTGGCTTTTGGGACCCTACTCCTCATATTGAGTATCCTTGCCCACCCTACTCCTCATACTGAGTATCCTTGCCCAGCCTTAATACAAGGGGAGGTGCTAGTCTTACTGCAAATTGATATGACATGTTTTGCTGATATCCATGAGAGGCCTCCCTTTTCTGAATAGAAATGGAGGAGGGTTGGATAGGGAAGGAACTAGGAGGAGAGGAGGGAGGGGAAACTGCAGCCAGGATGTAAAATAAATATATTTTTTAAAAAGTCAATGATTTAATCTTTACTGGTATTTTTGACAATCAATATCTTGTTACTCTACCATCCCATGGCATAAATGCACAATTTTGGGGGGAAGGTCTGGAAGTATAAAATATTTCAAAGGCCCACTGGCTGGAGATGGGCTTTGTGTATTAGAAAAACAAGGAAATGACCGTGGAGACCGCATCCCTCGGGGTGAGAGCCACAGCTCTTCCAAGAAGCCGCAGCATGCTTTGAGGCTGACCCTGCTGACCCCTCTCATTTTCCCAAGGAACATTTCCCAAGTGAAACTTTTCATTCAGTAAAATCAGAATAATGTTCTATATAGATTAGATGTTGGCTCTTTTGAGCCATTTATTATTAAATGGCTTACAGGAGAATGATACTTGAAAATGTGTGTGTGTGTGTGTGTGTATGTGTATGTGTGTGTGTGCATGTGTGTATGTGTGTGTATATGTGTGTATGTATGTATGTGTGTGTGTATGTGTGTGTGTGTGCATGTGTGCACACAGAAACTAGGGGTTGATACGGGATGTCTTCATCAGTCGCTTTTTCCATTATGTTTTTTTAAAAGATTTGTTTATTTATTTTGGAATTATTTTTGCTTATTATTTTTCTGTTAAAATACTTTTTGAGATTAGAATATAATCACATTTCTCCCTTTCCTTTCCTCATACAGCCCTCCTCGCTCTCCTTCAAATTCATGGCCTCTTTTTCCACTAATTGCTATTGGACCCATGTATATATGTGTGTATATATATTCCTAAATAAAGCCTGTTTAGTCCATATAATGTTGCTTGTGTGAATGCTTTCAGCCTGAGCATTTGGCACTGGACAACCAGTTGGTGTGCTCTTCTTCCCTGAGGAAGGCCACCTTTCCCTCTTCCCTCTCCCAGCTTTCCTCGGTCGCCTATAGTCCTTTGTGTAGGATTGGGGCCTCATGGGCCTTTCCCTGTCCACTCAGTTATGACCATTGGAGTCTCACTTGTTCAGCTTCTGTGCTGGCAGTCATGCTGATGCAACTTTATCAGTGTGGCGTCTGATTTTACTAGGAGATACAATCTCACAGCTGAGTCCCTGCTCTCTGGCTCTTACAATTTTTCTGCCCCCTGTTCTGCAGCAATATTCCCTGAGTCTTAGTTATGGGAGTGCTTGGTAGATGTATGTAGAAGTACTGGGACTAGGCTCCACAGCTCTGTATTTTTAAGATTTATTTCTTGGGTTTAATTCTGTTTAAATACGCGTGTCTGTGTGTGGGTGTGTGAGCGTGAGTGCATTTGTCCACAGATGATGCAGAGGGTGTGGGAGAATTGGAGATGAACTGAGCTGCCCCACATGAGTGCTGGGAGCAGAACTTGGGGTCTCTGAAGAGCAGTATGGGCTCTTAACTGCTGAGTCGGGATTTCAGACCCTTTATTTCACTTTTTGAGAGAGTCTCTCACTGCACCTGGAATTCACTGAGAGGCTCAACTGCTAGCTAGCTAGCTCCAGAGAGCCTAGAGCTGGGATTGCAGGTAAGTGGTAAGGTGCCCGGATTTTCCTGGGTGGTAGGACTGAACTCAGGCCTAACTGTTTGGGCAGTTAAGGCTTTTCCAGTGAGTCTTCTTGTTATATTTGACAACAACTGAGTACCTTCCTCATTAAATTAAACTTTGACTTACATATCTCAGGAAAAAAATCTAATCAAATTTGATGTACTACGGGAAAAAATAATTGTAAAATATTAGAAGAAACAAGAATTTTCATTCCCTTGATCACAGTTGTACAAATGATATTATAAAACTGGACATGGTGACACATGCCTAGAATTCCAGCACTTGGGAGGTAGAGGCAGGGGTCACGAATTCAAGGCCATCTTTGGTTACAGTGCAAGGCTAGCCTGAGACACAGGAGACTGTCTCAAGCAAAAAACCAAAACCAAAACCCAAACTGAAAACTAAAATAACATTATGCAAGAATTTTTTGACAGGATATTTTAAGAGCCA